TGTGGACATGTGTAAATAATGTTCGCACACACACACATTTGGCCTTGTATTCCTGGTGCCTAACACCAGTAACATTGTTGACTGGCCCCAGGGGAAGGAAGCAGAGCTTCTGTAGACAACTCCACATCAACTGGGGTTCAGTGCTAAAGATACCCGACTGCAAGTGTCTGTAACCAACTTGAACTCTGACTGTCCCGCCCGCTTCAGAATCTAAGGTTAACCCAAAACAGGAAACAGAGTTTAGAAAAAAGAGAGGAAGAAATACACTGGTATTTATTTATTTATCTTCCAGTCAAAACTGATTATTCATGGTGAGTGTTTTAGAGTATCTTTCCCTTCTAGCCATTTCCTGATACCAGCCTAGGGAAGTAAGATAAATTGTTTGTGTTCCATGTGTTTAGGAAATAAAACAAATTATGGGGCAATGTAGCTCAGTGGCGGAGTGCTTGCTTTGCATGCATGAGGCCCTAGGATCAATCTCCAGAACCACGGAAAGCAAATAAATTGCATGAACTCCTGCATGGTTTGATCACTTCCTACAGTCACTCTGGCTGTCGGTACTCACGAAGTAAACACTGGCGAAGGACTTATGTCCTCCTGCCCTGCTCAAGTACAAAGTCTATTTGGAAAGAGATTTGAGCTTCATTTATTGCCTTCTTCCCAGCATCTGGAACTCAGTCCAGCTCATAAAAGATGCTCAATAAATATTTGTCGAGTGAATGCGCTTAGCACGTGAGTGTGAAATAATGAGAACCGGCACCTCCTGCATCTCCCTGCACCGGTGACACCGGCTCAGTCACTTCTGTGCTCAGCCTGTGTGCCGACGTGGAGGGCTCTGCTCTGTGGGCTCAGGCGCAGCACTTGAAAGAATGCTTCCGTCTCCACAACTTCCTGTCTCCTTCGGGGCTGGTTCTGGAAGATGGAGGTGGTGAGGGAAGAGAGGATGGGCTTCACACACAGGAAGTGTGGCAAGACAGACCTCCTCTCTGCACCAGGCGCTGGTGGCTTCTGCACCATGACTCTCGGGTGCAGGCCCTACATGCAGCCCACCTGCTGTGCAGCCCAGAGGTCTCCTCGCTGGGCAGCTGCATTATTATTACTATTGTTATTACTTTATTTTATTGTTTTGGTGCTGGGGTTTGAACGCAGGGCCTTGCACACCAAAGGAAGGCGCCTTGCCACTGCACTGCACAGTCAGCCCTACATTACTGTTTGAATCAGACGCAATAGCATTGCCATTTGTGGAAGTCTTGGAGAAGCCACAGATATTCAGTTCCATGGATTTAAACAGTTTCCGCGTATTTGGAGTGATAGGATCATTTGAGCAATGTTCATTTTTCAATGATTTGAAGACCTAAGTTTGCTGACCATGTTTTCCAACGACACAAGTTGGAGAAAGGACGCTCCTGTCTCTACAACTTCTGATTGTGGATGAAAATGAAAGGTGAACGTAAAAAGTGATGAGTTACCTGTAAAGATGTGTGGAAACTGAGGTAGAATTAGATAGCGATAAGTGTAAAGTCTGCCTTAAAAAGAAGCTTCTGGGGCCAGGGATGCAGCTCAGCGGCATAAGTGCCTGCCTGGCAAGCGCAAGGTACCAAGTTTGATTCCCGGTACCAAAAAAGAAAAAAAAAAATCTTCTGTAAGGGATGCACTTGAGAGCATAATGTTAAGTGAAATAAGTCAGACACACAAGTTTAAATATCGAATTTTTTTCTCTTATGGGATACACACAGGGTAAAAATAAAGAGCAAAATCAAATGTAGATAACAGAAGTAAGGAACTGGGTCATTCACAGTGGGAAGGGGATCAAGAGATGAGGGAGAAAGGAGAAGAGATGAAAAACATCCAGATGTGTTATGTACGAGTATCAACCTTCCACAGGGAATGTAAACATTGTGTACTACAACGTGTGTACTAATAAAGTAATTAAAACCTCCATGACTATAGTATGAGAAGCCCTGGTTTAAAGAGCACATTAGAGGGTGAGGGAGTGCTGGTTAGTGACTTTGGGTTAAATTCAAGCCACCTGTGTCAGATATTAAAAAATCAGTAGATTCGGGATGGGGTGTAGTTCGGTGGTAGAGGATGTGCTTAGTGGGCATGAAGCCCTGGGTTCAGTCCTCAGCAGTGCAAATCATCATCATCACCATCATCATCATCATCACCTTTCACTTACATGATAAATACAGATGAAACAGAGATTAAGTAAAGATGGAAGGTCTGGGTTGCCACACTCTGCTCTGGGCAGACAGCATGGGAATGTGAAGGTCTGTGGGTAATACTGGAATGTCAGGAGACAACTGTGAAGGACAGGATGAGAGCACCTGGGGAAGGAAATTCTTTGAACAGGATGAGGGGGGAGCGTATTTGGGAATTTGCACGGCTGTCATTGAATGGCAGGCTGCTTTATTCTGAGCAGCTTTAAAGGGCTGAGCCAAGACTAAGGGGTGGAATTTAAACAGCTGGAATCTTGATCCAATTTTGGGTGGAATGTCTCCCTGTTTATGTCACCAGGAAACAGCAGCCCGTAAAGTGACCTCTGGCAGAGTAAGGTTTCAGCAGAGGCTGGACTGCTGTGGGTTGGAGTTTCAGAACCCCGGAGGGGCTGCACCTTCTGACCTTCAAGGATTCCCTTCAACTTCAAGATTTGTGGCTCTAGTGGAATGAGTAGGTCAGGCTCAGAGAGTTACCTAGATGAAATTCTTTGTCAGCAGAAGCCTGTTTCCTGGAAACAGCAACAAGGTGGTAGAACCTACCAGCTTCAGTGAGGTCCTGGGCCCATATCAGGGTCTCCTGAGGAACATGTGTAGGCTTGGGTTGAGGCCTCCCCAGATCCGCTCCAGCACTTGGCTGTATGTAGAGGCCTTTGTCCTCCGGGGAACTTGTGGTCAGCCTGACCTGCTCTCTGGACCCTCCCTCAGGCTGGATGAGGTTCAGCTGCCCAGCACAGTGGCTGGGTGACTTCTATTCCTGCAGGGACACTGCTCACTTCTCTCCAGCCCAGTCCTGAAAGCTCTGCCTGCTGCCCCAGTGACAGCATCTCCCGGCTGAGAGGTTGGCTGCTGCACACACCCTTGCACACGTGTCTCCATGCACATGCTTGCACACGTCTTCTTGCACACGTGTCTCCACTTACCCTGGCAGCTATGCTTCTGGAGGATGCTGCCCCTCTTGTTCTTTTAATGCCAATGCTCCTGTGGTGCTAGGTGGGGAGTTTTTAACATCTTAGGAATTCACCACCAAAGTGAGTAGTTGGTTTTAGTCATTTATTTTTAATTTTTTTTTTTTTTTTTTTGTCTTTTTTAGACAGGGTCTCACTATGCAGTTCAGGCCGGCCTTGAGCTCACTTTGTAGCCCAGGCTGGCCTCGACCTCGCAACGATCCTCCTGCCCCAGCCTCCCGAGTGCTGGGATTACAGGTGTGCGCCACCACGCCTGGCTGTGGTTTTAGTCATTTTCGAAAATGACTTCAGACAAACACTGGTGAGAGTTTCCACCTGTTGGGAAGGAGCACACTTACTGAATATTCATCTGGGCTGGTCCTGGGTGGATCCTGCCTCTTATCAATACTTGAAACGGCTGTACCAAGTAGAGGATGCTTACTCTTTAAGCACAGCTACTACAGAAAGCTAGCCCAGGGGTTGGGGATTTAGCTCAGCGGCAAAAGCGCCTGCCTGGCAAGCGCAAGGTCGTGAGTTTGGTTCCCGGTACCGGAGAAAAACCAAAAAAAAAAAAAAAAAAAAAGAAAGCTAGCCCAGCCCTGCCTCAGGCCTGCAGAGTAAATGCTGAATTTCTATACCACTGGGTGGAGGGCACTCAGCTCCGTCTCCCCAGCCCTGTGCAGAGGCCTGTGCCCTAAGAGCTGTGCAAATGGGGCCTCCTCCAAGGCCTTGAGTGCCTTTGTGTTACTGACACAGCTTTTTCTTTAGTGCTGTGGGGGCCTCTTTTCCCATGAGTGGGAATGTTTCTGGGCCCTGGATTCTGGTCTTGGGGGGTTGTCAGGTGCTCTTTTGAGGAAACTTAGGCAAGGGGTGGGTGGGCACCACTGAATGGTGTCTTTGTCCTCTTTCTGAAAGCTTCATCGAGAAAGGCAAAATCCCTCCAGAGGTATTGGCAAGCTGCGGGCTGGTGCTGAGAGCTGGTTCTCGGCGGGCTCCTTTGCAGGGTGGCTTTGGGAGGGAACAAAGGTCCCCGAGGCCCCTGTTGTGATGGGAACCGTTCATTTTCATTCTTCTGGTCTCCTGGGAAGCCTCTGGTTGAGCTTTGCTTTTGTCCTGGGCCTGGCAGCATTTTGAACAGAGGCCTCGTGTTTGGCAAGGCCTCGTGGAGCTAAAGCTTGGTGCGCTCTCTTCTCTTGTCTCCACTTCCTGTCAGCTGGAATGGGGCAGTGTGCTCGGTGCCTGCTTTTCTGAGATGAGTTTCATGGACTCTGATTGGGTTGGGTGGACCACATGTTAACTCTGAGCAGCCAGTTAGCTTGCCCAGTGCTGTGCTGTGCTCCCATTGGCTGGCCAAACCTAGTGATGGCCAGGGTGTGAAGGTACAAGTGGAGGAAGGGTGCTGGGCAGGTGGTTGCCTGGCTGTCTGACCCTGACTCTCTGGTCCTGACTTTGTCCCCCAGACTAGGGTCTGCCAGGCCTGAGCCTGGGTCCCACACTGGCAAGAGGGTTGCTCAGTGCCCCTGGCCCATGTTGAGTCAGATAGCTCCTTTCCCCAGAGTGTCTTTCTCGCCACTGTTGAGCGGTGCATGTTTGCACACATCTCTGGATTGTGCCTGGTACGTGGCCTCTTGTGATCTCTGAGCAGCTCTGCTGGAAGAGGACACAAGGACAGCCTTGTCCTTTAGTGTGTTAGTGGGGATTGGCCAAATGTCAAAACCATTTCTTTCTGAAAAAGAACTTGCCATGCCACAAGTGTCCAGAGCCTGCTGCCCTGCAGGGTTTTTGGCATACGCTCGCCTTTGTGCATTGTCCCACCTGTCCCCCTTGCGTGCTGCAGGGAGCTTCTAGAGACCACGTGCCGCCTGGCCAATACGCTGAAGAGGTATGGCGTCCAGCGAGGGGACCGCGTGGCCATCTACATGCCGGTGTCCCCACTGGCTGTGGCGGCAATGCTGGCCTGTGCCAGGATCGGAGCTGTCCACACAGTTATCTTTGCTGGATTCAGTGCAGAATCCTTGGCTGGGAGGATCAATGATGGTGAGTACAAGGGCAGGGGCGGCAGGGCCGGGAGTCCCCTGGTCCTCGTTCCTGGGGGGCTGGCTATCAGGATGGAGATTAGGTGGTGTTAGATGTTAATAACAAGTCACAAAGACAGATGGTAGGCATTACCAGGGAGAGGCAGGGGTGCGTGCGTCTTCTGTGAGCAGAGACTGTCAGCTGCCACAGGGCCAGGACGCAGATTCTCTCCCAGAGCCTCCGGAGAGGAGCCAGCCTGCTGCACCTGCCTATGGCCCAGGAGACTAAGCAGAGTACCCTGGTGGGCAGACTAAGCTAAAAGCAGTTGTCCTGAGCCATCAAGTTCATGGTGATCTGTTTTAGGGGCAAAAGAGAATTTGTGTAGATGCTGAGGCCTGCTCCTGACCAGAAGGGACAATTGAGTCCAACCAGACATGTCCCATGGCACCCACACTGTCCCTGTCCAGCCCCATCAGCTGGCCATGGAGGTATCCAATGGACAGATGGCCTTTGCCCTGCCCAGACAGGCCCAGCTTCCCTGGAGGATGGTGGTTGTGCCCTGAAGGAAAAACGAGTGTGGCCAGGGAGCCTGGTGTGTCCTGGTGCCTCAGGTGGCTGCCTCCGGGTGGATCTAGATAAGTGATGGGAATGTTTGAGAGCTTTCATTGATACCGACATCCTGCTGTGGTCGCGTGCCTTAAGTTCACCACCACCGGTCCAGAGTATCTCTAGAGTATCTCCAGCCCTTGGATAGCCCTGTGGCTCATCTAGATACAAACCCTGTGCAGAATTCTCTGGTGGCCTCAGGGCTGTGATGTCCCTGAGGCACTTAGGAGGGAGAAAGAGTGTAAGCAGGAGGCCTGAAAGAATTTCCAGATGGGCTCAGGAAGATGGAGCCCAGTCTCTAAGACAAGGTCCCAGCAAGGTGGTTCCTCTGAGGCACGGTCCTGGGAACCGCCAGAGGCAGGGAGAAATGAGGCCAGGAAAGGAGGCCACACTGGGGGCCCAGGGCCTCATCCACAGGGAGCCCCCAATGTGTAGCACTCATGGATCAGGCTGACACAGGTGTGACCGGGCAGTTGGGGGTTCACACTCCGTCTCTTCAGAGTCGCTGCTTGAGGAGCACCTCCACTCATGGCTCTGGAAGAGGCCCCTGATTCAGACTGACTAGAGGACCCTGGCCTGTGGGTGAGAACTGCTGTTTGCTATAGAACCTTCCTCAGAGGCTAATAACCACCACAGCCTTGTTTCCACCGATCCTCCTGGGTGGGTACAGGGCTGAGAGTGATTCCTTTGCCTGTGGGCCTCAGGCCCAGGGTATGTGGCCCTTGCTCCCTGCACTGGCCTCACCCTCTCTTGGGTGTGGAAGGTCAGGAACTCTGGGCCTGGCTTCTTCTGGCTGGGTCACTGAAGAACAGGTGTGGCCCAGAAGCTTTCCCTGAAGGCGAGGCCTGCAGGCTGCTCCTGGGCACCCGCCCTGGTGGCATCTCTGTTCTGTGCCCTGCAGACTATGAGTTGCAAGTCATCCTGGACAGGGCCTGGCGCAGGGAACACCTTGGGGCTTGGTCTCTGCCTCTCCAGCTTCTCTGTCACCACAGTTGCTGTGGGCGGCCGGCCTGGGGACACTCCTGTGTCAGGTGGAAGAGACACCTGGAGGTGGGAGACTCGAGCTCCCACCCTCGAGGAGAGTGGCGCTTCTGAGCCTTGTCTCAGGCCCCTTCCCATGCGCCCCCAGCAGGTCAGGCCCGGCACACTGCACCACACTGCAGGTGCAGAGCAGGCAACCCTCGCTGTGTCTCTGGTTCTTCCACTCTGGTTGGACACCTTCCAGTGCATGCTCAGGACTGGACATGTGACCACGGTCAGGCTGTGAGGGGCGAAGCGGGGAGGAGACTGATCCGATGTATCACTGTTGTCTCTGCTAGCCAAGTGCAAGGTGGTTATTACCTTCAACCAAGGACTCCGGGGAGGGCGTGTGGTTGAGCTGAAGAAAATAGTGGATGAAGCCGTGAAGAACTGTCCGACTGTCCAGCACGTCCTGGTGGCACACAGGACGGAAAACAAGGTCCCCATGGGGGAGCTGGATGTCCCCCTCGAGCAGGTGGGTTTGCTCCACTTTATGTGGTTTGAGGAGGAGGAATTTTATCAGGTGAATTGGGTCTGGGGCTTGTTGGGTTGTGGCTGTCAGTCTGGGCTCCCTAGAACTGCCCAGGGTTCCCCTGCAGCACCTGCCTGCCTGTTTCCTTCTTGGCCCTGGGGATGGAACCCAGGCCTCGTGCCTGCAGAGCATGTGCTTTACCAGTGTGCGGCCTCCCCAGCCCTACCCGTCCCCTGACCCCATGTTGCTCTGCTGTGGTGGAGCCTGGAAAGCCAGGGAGGTGCCTTCTGGGGCAGGGGCTGCTCTCAGAGGTCAGGCTAAGTCTTCTCTGCTGCTTCTCTCCTTCAGGAGATGGCACAGGAGGCCCCTGTGTGCGTCCCCGAGAGCATGGGCAGCGAGGACATGCTCTTCATGTTGTACACCTCAGGCAGCACTGGCTCACCCAAGGGGCTGGTGCACACCCAGGCGGGCTACCTGCTGTATGCAGCCCTGACGCACAAGGTAGGTGGGGGTGGTGTGCTGTGTGTGCATGCAGGGCCACGTGAGCCATGACACCGCAGTGGTGGGCCTGTGTGTGAGAGGCACCTGGGTGCTCTGCTTGGGTCCTGGGACAGGGTCCTGGCTGCTCCAAGGCCCAGGCTGCTGCTGCTGTCACTTTTGCCTTCATGGGCTCCTCATGCCATATAGTGTCAAGAATTGTATCTTAGAATTGCATTGGAAATGAAAGAATCTAAACAATAGGGATGTATGATGCTGAGGATGTGGCTTAATGGTAAAGAGTGTGCCTTGTGTGTGGGGGCCCTGGGTTTGAGCTCCAGCCTTGGGGGAGAAAAGAATCTCAACTGGAATGGGATAAAGATTGAATGCAGATGCTCTTAAAAATTCAGACATTCTCCTCACTTCAAGGTTCATTTTTTTCTTTTGTCTTTAAAAGAAGACATTTTTGCAGACCCCTAAAAGATTTGTGGAAACCAGGCGAAGTGGCACATGCCTGTAATCCCAGCACTCAGGAGGCTGAGGCAGGAGGATCACTGTGAGTTTGAGGCCACAAAATGAGTTCAAGGTCAGCCTGAACTCCAGACTGAAACCCTATCTCAAAAAGACAAAGTAAAAAAAAAAAAAAAAGATTTGTAGATGCTAGTCCCTACTCATTTTAAAAGTAAAATTTAAAAAGACAACATTATAAAGAAACTTACGTTTAGTGTGTAGGATTACATAACTGTGAGTAACCTTCTTGGGATATAAAAGCAAATGACAGAGCCTGGCTTTTAGTCCAATAAATGCATCTGCAATCAGCATTCATGTAAACGTTGGGGGGTGTGGTTTTACAGGGCGTCCCTGGCAACCTTGAGTACTACCTAATACTTTCCAGCTGGGCTTGAGTTCCTCAGTATCATCTGTGGACTGGACTCTGTTGCAGGCCATCTCAGTGCCTGCTGGCAGCAGCAACACAGGGAACTGCCCCTGTCATGGCCACCTTCTACCATCACACAGACAAGATACCTCACCAGGCTGCTGTTCGTCAGCTGGGCAGACCCAGGGCAGAGAGGGCCTCAGTGGTCCCAGTGGAGTCTTGGTTGGGTTGGTGGCCCAGGTCCAGTTCTGACTTGGTCACTGTGGGCAGCTGTCAAGGTGGGACCAAAATGCTGATTGGCCTGTCTGGGTCACATGGGAGGTGATTTCTGGGGCGGGAAGCAAAAGGGCCAAGGAGGAAGGAGAAGCCAGTGTCGGGACAGGGTCATCCGGTGTCTGCATGTGCACAGCATGCAGCCCACTCCTGAGGACGCTGCACAGGGCCAGCATGGAGGACCCTGACAGACAGGCAGACAGGCAGATGCCCTGCAGGGCTGTGGAGCAGACCACCGTTAGGCTGATCGTGGAGTCCAGGCTGATCACGGAGTCCCACGCTGATGTTGCTGCAGGCTTCTGGCTGACCTCACGCAAGGCACAGAGCTTTCTCACCCTAATTTTCTCAGCTGACCCCTCCCCCCTGTTGGTGATAGGACGTTGCAAAGATGTGCAGATTGCACAAGATGCTTGGACAGTAGCCAGTGGGACTGACTGTGAAGAAAGTTGCAGACTGGAGTTTCCATTATTTACATAAAGTGTACACGGGGAGCTGTAAGCAGGGTGAGACTTCATCCTCGTGTGTTCAGAGCGTTTCCAGGATACCGTCGACACAAGCAAGAAATGCGAGGCTGGGGGGATGGGAGAATGTCTTTCAGATCTCTCTTCCATACTTGGAGATTTGGGGGCATCAGGAGTCGGCATCATCAGCCTCCTGTGGATGACACTGAGTGTGAATGGCAGTGGAGAGGGAAGTATGTGTCGTCTCTCATCAGTACTGCTCTGTGCTGCGCACAATACTCAGGCCTTGGGGTGTGAGGATGCCTGGGACATCCACAGGGTCGCAGGCAGCCAAGTGACCTGCCTGCTTGGCAACAGGCAGAAGCAAGATTGTTTGGGTACAGCATGGGCTCTCTTGCTGGGCTTGGTGGCGAATGTTTGTAATCCCAGCACTTGGGAGGCTGAGACAGGAGAATTGCTTCCAGTTCAAGGCCAGCCTGGACTACATAAGCAAGTTCAAGTCCAGCTCAGGTGACAGTTGTGCCCAGCCTTGGACAAATGTGTTACTGCCGACACTGGTAACATGAAGGAGGAGAGGCTCTCTAGGCGTACAGTGTCAGAGGTGCCAGTGGGCTAATGCCAAGGCCAGAGCACTGTGGGGCGGAGCAGAGCTGCCCACTTAATGGCAGCTGTGAGTGGAGCACAGGGGAAGAACCAGAGAGGCAGGGCCAGGGGCTAGACCTTGCCCCCGGGGGCCACACCTCTGGGACCCACCCTGAAAGCCCAGAGGTATGCTCTCTCTGTCTCCAGTCAAGTTGACAGTCAAGGTGAACTGTCACAGGGCTGTGGTCATCGCTGGGGTTCTAATGTGTGTGCATGTGCACAGGTGTGTTTGCCATGTATGTGTGTGCACATGTTTGCACATGTTTGTCTGTGTGCCCGTGCACATGTGTATGTCAATGCATGTATGTTTGTGATGGATGATGGGAGTGAGGCTGTTAGGGAGAAGGCTGCTGACTCTGCGGGATGTTGGGGTGATCAGTGGTGTCAGAGAGCTGACTGGCTGCGGGTCCCCTGGGGAATGACTAGCCCCAGGTGCCTGGCCTCCTCCAGGAACTACAAGCTTGGTGGTGTGGGTCCAAGCTGAATTCATAAGCCTTTTGGCTCCATGCTGTGCGGATGAGGACGTCTTGGTTAGCCAGCAAGCAGAACCTCATTCTTCCACGCAGACCCACAGCTCCGCAGGGGCCTGGCCATTCACAGCCCTGATGAGCAGCCTGCAAACTCCAGGGTGTACTGACCACTGGTTGGCAGCAGCAAGACCCTGGTGTCAACTCACCAAAAGTTAAAAGTAGTCTTAGAACATACAGAAATCCACCCATGCCACATGTGTGGCTCAGTGGGTCATTTGAGCAAACACCAGACTCTGGTCAACAAATGGAACACTGCCAGCCATGCAGGAATCAGACCAAGTTCCTACTTCATTAGGGGTCAGCTTGGGCTCTGGAGAACCCCTCAAGCCCCTCACTGCAGTCCCCAGGGCCACCTCATCCCACGGCTCAGCATTGCCTGGCTGTGCATGCCTGCTGTAAGCATGGTGGCGCTTTTGCGTCTGGCTGCTGTCACCCACACACATCTGCAAGGGGTTCCCTGCTGCACGTGTACGGCACATCTCTTTCCCCCGCCGTGCCCTGTGTGCAGCCCTGTGACCCTCAGTCACCTGCCGCTGGTGGCCATGAGTGGCTACCTCTCAGCTACCAAACCCTGGCTGTCTCCACCTTGTCTCAGTGACGTGCGGGAGTGTGGAGGGGAGGGAGGATGCCGCCTGATGGCTCCCCTGTGTCCGCAGCTTGTGTTTGACTACCAGCCCGGCGACGTCTTTGGCTGTGTGGCGGACATAGGCTGGATCACGGGACACAGCTATGTGGTGTATGGACCCCTCTGCAATGGTGCCACCAGCGTCCTTTTTGAGAGCACCCCAGTTTATCCCAATGCTGGTGAGGACCCAGGACCCCATCAGGGGCCTGTGCTGGGTGGCAGGGCCGGGTGCAGGTGAGGTATGTGTCTTGTGGTCCTGTAGATCAGATGCCGAGGGACAGCAGAGCTGCCAGCCTTGGCCCTGTGGGTAGATGGGAGCTGGAAGCCGTGTCCACAGGTGCTCTGATGGTGGGGTACAACAAGCAGCCAGATGACACTGCATCTTACACCACCCTCCCAGGTTTCCATCCCTCTGCCTTAAGCCTCCTGCCCTGGGATCCCTCAGCATAGGCCCTGCTGCCTCTGCGGCCACCTCACTGGCCAGCCCAGCCCTTCCTTAAATCCAGGCCTGCAGACTGTAGAGCTGCCTGCGCTGGGTGTGGCTGGAGCACCTCCTTAGGTAGGGAGTTTTGGAGTGGGAGAGGGCACAGGCGGGACTGAGGCTTAGGTGTACCCTAGTCAGGTCCCTCAGGGAGTGGTGTGGCTTGTGGGGTTCTGGGGCCAGAGGTCTTGTCGGGCATGGGCTCAGCTGTGAGGTATGTGCGGCATACAGGGAAGACCCATCACCTCTCCCCAGGGGACTGGGCTCCTCTTGGTGACCACAGGCAGACGTCTGCACACACCTGTGTCTGGCTCCTCCTGCTGATGACTGGGTTTGGCCTCCTGCAGGTCGGTACTGGGAGACGGTGCAGAGGCTGAGGGTCAATCAGTTCTATGGTGCCCCGACCGCCATCCGGCTGCTCCTGAAGCTTGGGGATGGCTGGGTGAAGAAGTACGACCGCTCGTCCCTGCGCACCCTGGGCTCGGGTGAGCATGCGCTCTGGGTGGGTGGCAGAGGTTACAGCTGGATAGGGAGAAGGCCTGAGGGGTGGGTATGTCAGCTGGACACAGAGAGTTAGGTTTGGAGTCCTGGGGCCTGACATGGCTTGATGGGCAGATGGGTGGTGAGGCTGCGTGGGTGTAGGGACGGCGGTGTGTGCCCTCACACTGTGTGGGGTCCAGCGCCGGCTCTGCTGTCCCCAGCTGTGTTCTCCTCGGAGCCTGCGGCTTCTGCCTGTGGTGGGTGTGGCTGCGGGGCTTCCCTGACACTTCCTTGGGTGTCTGGCTGTCCTCCCTTCTGTGGAGCACATGTCCAGAGTCAAACTTTGAAGTAACAGGCTAAACACAAGCTTAGCACTAGTAGACTTTGTCCCAAACTGTTGTCAAGTAGTTGTGTTGAGTGTGTGCACTTCTAAGTATGAAGAGAGACGTCCCGGTTTCCTCCCCCAACTACAGTGTGTACAATACCCCAGCCCATGTTCTTGCCCGCTTATTGCCTTTGGACCCTGTAGCAGCTGCTTGTGTCTTCTGGCAAGTGTGATGGAATCACAGCTCTCTAGGTCTCCTTGGGTGACATTTGGAGCAACCCTGAGCAGTGACCCTGGCCTCTGAGCGGCGCTAAGCTCTGCCTCTCTGTGTGCTTCCAGTAGGTGAGCCGATCAACCACGAGGCCTGGGAGTGGCTACACAACGTGGTGGGGGACGGCAGGTGCACGCTAGTGGACACCTGGTGGCAGACAGGTGAGCGTCCCCAGCAGGTGTCAGGGCTGGGGTCTAGGCTGGGGCTGGGGCTGTAGGATCCAGGGAGGCAGGGTCCACTGTACTATTCAAGATACGGCCTGGCCTTGCTTCCTGGCTGTCCTACACTAGTAAGGTCTTCTCAGGGCCTCAGTTTCCCAGCCTGTAACTTGGGGGTCCCCAGGTCTGGCACAAATGGAAGGGGCTGGCACAGGCTGTGCCCAGCTGGGCGTGTGTGGTGAGCATGCAGGGCTCCCTTTTCTCTGCATCCCCTGCCTTGTTATTGGGGTGCTGGCATGGAGCCAACTGAGCACAGCTGTGGAGCAGGGGAGGACCTGCTGTCCCGGAGCCCTGAGTCCAGGTCGGGGTTAGCAGGAAAGGATGCTGCTTCCTGGGGCACTCCGTTTTGGTTGTCCCCTCCTAACCCGGTGTCTGACTCTGGATGTGCGGGGCAAGAGCCCACTGCAGACACGGTGACAGACCCCTGAGGTGCCACAGGGGTCCCATCTGACTGGTTAGGGACCTTGTACCCCTCCTCTCCCCTGGACCACAGGGGCAGGTGGCAGAGCAGTATGAGGCCAGGCCTCATGGGCTGAAGTAGGCTCTGGCAGGCCAGTCCTCCTTATTTTCCTGTTAAAGCAGGCGACTCTGCCCTTCCTTGTTCAGAGGCAGAGGCCAAACCCAGAGGGCAGGATGGAGCAGAGGGAGGTACAGGCATGCCGCTGCAGGACATGGCGCCCGGCCACAGCTTGGTCCCAGGGATATGGCACCTGGCCCCAGGGTGGGTCTCAGGGCTGCACCCAAGTACCCCCTTGTGTACACACTGAGGGGCCTGAGCCGTGTTTACCCAGACAGAGGTCCCAGGGCCACTGGGACTGACCCCTCCTACCCCTGCTCTGATCAGCACAGGCGCACGCTGTGTCTTCTGGGGATGCAGTCTGTGCTCTTGGCCACCCAGCATTTTCTCTTGCCTCTCGTAGAGACTGGCGGCATCTGCATTGCGCCCCGGCCCTCCGAGGAAGGGGCTGAGATCCTCCCTGGCATGGCCATGAGGCCCTTTTTTGGCATCCTGCCTGCTCTCATGGATGAGAAGGTATGTGGGGCCCCTGCACAGACCAGTCCCCTGCTGTCCCTCACCAGTGCTGGTGCTTGCTTCCCAGGCCTTCCTCAGGGAGCTGTCTTGATGACATCACTGTGGGGCACGAACCGGGCTCTTGGGAGGAATGTTCTGGACGGCTGCCTATGGCCTGCTTGCCATCTTTTAGCCTCGGTCAAACAGTGAGGATGATGATGCTGACACTCGGCTCTCACATCTGACTCTCCCATTGTCTTCCGGGTCTGCAGGGCAATGTGGTGGAGGGTGGCGACGTCTCTGGGGCCCTGTGCATTGCTCAGGCCTGGCCGGGCATGGCTCGGACCATCTACGGTGACCACCAGAGATTTGTAGACTCCTACTTCAGGGCCTACCCAGGTGAGTGGCTGGGGGCGCCCTTGGGCCCAGCCCAAGTTCTGCTGGAATGTCCTCAGGAACAGTGATGGTGGACAGCAAGGCACGGGGGCAAAGGACAAGCACACAGAGGCTTGTGTGCAGCCTTGCTTCTCTGGACTGTGGAGCCAGCCTGACCTCGGGCCTCTGTGGGCCGGGGCTGTGAGTGTGAGGTTGGTTAGTGCCAGGCTGGGGTGCTCTTAGCTCTTAGCAGAGGGGAGCAGAGAAAACATCATGGAAACTGGCCATGGCTGGGGTTTCCGCAGCTTGTGCTTATGCTTTCCCAGCTGTTCTTGAGCTGTCGGGCCGGAAGTTACGTGAATGCCACCTTGTCTCATTGGAAGCAGTGACTTCCAGTCTCAAGCTCTACTGAGACCCTTTGGGGTTCCTCAGATTTCTGCCAGCTGCCTGCTTAGGAGGCTTGGTTGGGGCTGCGGGGAGACTTCAGGGAGGGTAGGCTGGCCAGCATGGCAGCCTTGGCCTGTGGCTGGGATAGACAGGGTCCCACCGCAGAGGCCTGGGGTTCAGGGCTCCTGAGTGGATCATCTGCTGGGCTGCAGGATACTATTTCACTGGAGATGGGGCTCACCGAACCCAAGATGGCTACTACCAGATCACGGGGCGCATAGATGATGTCATCAACATCAGCGGCCACCGCCTGGGCACCGCAGAGATCGAGGATGCCATGGTGAGCATGGCCCAGCCTCTCCTTTGCCCTGGCACTGCCGTGATGCTGTCAGCGTCTGCGTGGGGTGGGAACGTGACCTCAGCCCCCTCCAGGCTGTGGGACTTGCCACATTTTGCCCTGTTCTGTGTGGTGCAGGCTGACCACCCCGCTGTGCCGGAGACCGCTGTCATTGGCTATCCCCATGACATCAAAGGAGAAGGTGAGTGTCCCTTTGGGCAGCCTCTCACCCATGTCCATCCTCTCGCTTGTCATGGGTGCCCCCTAAGCACAGTGGGCTGGGAGCGCCGGTGACAGGGTCTGCAGAGCCAAGCTGCTCCTCCTCTTCTCTCCCATGTGGAGGTTTTGAGGGGTGGGGAAACCAGTGACATGTGCTGGGCAGGTTGGGGTCCTGAGAGGCTCGCCATGGCCCAGGTGGCCCTCACTGAGCTTGGGAATTTCGTCCTGGGTCTTTGGCCCCCTGGCAGGGCACTGTCCACACCTCATCATGGGGCATCCTGTCCCGTCGCACAGCCCTGTCCTCTGCCTGCTGGCTTGGTGTCCATGGTGTTCACTGGATGTGGGGTAGAGCCTGGCTCAGGCTTCGGCTGTATCTGGACTCAGGAGGAGCCCGACTGTATTCCCGCTGGCACAGCCACCTTCTGGGGAGGCAGAATGAACAAGCAACCTCCTCGCCTGGGACACACTTGGTTCTGGAGACAGTGAGGTCCAAGTCCCAGGGCCTAGGGACAGGCAGGAGTGCTGGTGTGTTGTAAGAGGCTTGGCCTGGTATGACCTTGTGCTCAGTCATGCTGGGCACACTGATACACACGAAGGTCACCACCGGGCACACCGACCTCACGCCAAGGTCACCGCCGGGCACACCGACCTCACACCAAGGTCACTGGCAGGCACACGGATCTCACACCAAGGTCATTGTCAGGCACACTTTTGCTGGCCGTACTGACCTGGAGCCAGGTCACCGCTGGACACACTGGCCCGGTGTCCACTCACCACTGGGCGCACTGACCCGTGCCAGGTCACCTCAGGGCACACTGACCCCATGCCAGGTCTCTGCTGGGCACACTACTGTTGGGCACACTGATCCCTCGCCAGGTCACTTCCAGGCACACTGACCCAGTGTCATCTCACTGCTGGCACACTGACCCCCTCCGGGTCACCACCGGGCACACTACTGCCAGGGATACTACTGAGCACACCAATCCCCTGCCAGGTCACTGCTGGACAGGGACACACTGGCGGCCCACTCACCACCGAGCACACTGATGCGTGCTAGGTCACCTGAGGGCGCACTGACCGCGTCAGGGCACACTGCTTCGGGGCCTGGGACGCAGACTCCCCGCTCCTGTTAGGGGCTCACTGGGTCACAGCTTGTCCCAGATATCACCTGCTTGCCTGCCATGTTGTGTGCCTGTTCTGTATTTACTCAGATGTCTTTTATATTTTATTTTATTTCATTTTGGTGCTTTATGTGTGCTGAGAGCTGCTCTTTCCACCTTGTACCCGCTGCCCCTCAGGTGTTTTCTTTAGACTGACCCACCGTAAAACTTGAAATTGGTGCAAGCGCTTCAGAAGCAGCACTCTCCGCTGCTGTGAAACAGCTGGGCGCGGAGGCCGCTGTTTCTCTGTGGGGGTGGCTATCAGGGCCTCCTCAAGCGGAGGCCTCGTCCAGGCATAGTCAGGGTGCAGATGGAGGCAGGAAAGTTGCCTGCCTGGCGTGGTGACCTGTGTCCTGCCTACAGGCCCTCAGTGGCTGGGTCTGCGTTTCACACTGTGGGAGGACTGCAGGCCTGGGTGTCGGGTCCCGGCCTTCATGGATGAGCGCTGAGCTGTTCGGCTGTTTGGCTGTTCGGCTGTTCGGCTGTGGGGCCTGAGGGGGCTGTGGGGCTGCACAGGGGCCTCTACTGGCACTGTCCCCACCGTCCCCACTGTTCCCCTGACAGGTGGACTTCAGCCGTCACATCACGTGAGGGGCAGTGGCTGCCCGGGGGCTCCAGGCTGGGGCAGAGTCCTTGGGTGAGCACTCAGGCTGGTAGCGCCCACTAGCAGCTGGGGCAGCTCTGTCCTGAGCAGGCCTGGGCCGCCTGCCTTCGGGCAGGGATTTCGAGCAGTTTCTTGGTTTCTCACTACTCTCAGCATCTGTTTCTTTCAGTTTGTGGATGGCCCAGTAGCAGTTCTGTCTGCACACCGTGCCCGTCTCCTGTCCCTCCAGCAGGCGCTGACCTGTGGGAGGGGGCGCCCCGGCTTGGCTTTGCTTCAGCCCCTGAGCCTGGCTGAGCTTTCAACCTTCTGGCCTCGGCCTCCGCCCCCAGCCACGTGGCTGCTCTCTTCATCTCCTCTCTGACACTGCAGTCCAGGCCGCTTCACCTATGCTCAGCACCAGGAGAAGAGTACTGGGTTCCTCCTATCACAGATCTCTCTCACAGCCTGCGGGTGGGGTGACGCCCGTCCCTATAGGGCCAGAGCCATAGGCAGACTCAGGCAGGGTCAGGAAAGCCTCCACAGGGCATCAGGGGGCTGGATGGGGTCTTGAGGGGTAAGTAGGAGTTTGCCTACTTGGAGGTGGAGGCGGGTGCCTTTCAGGCAGAAGCTGAGGCCCTGCAGACCCAACTCTGCAGGCACAGTTGCCCTGACGGTGGTCAGCAGGTGTCTGTGGGGCTCCTGCTATGCTCCTTGTCTCTCTGCTGGGGACACAGCCAACAGTGACACAGTGACAGTGACGCAGTAGCCACCGTGCTAGGAGGAGGCAGAGGCGGGAGAGATGGGCCAGGACAGCAGACAGGTCTGAGGGAACTGCACAGCCCCACGAGAGGTGCACAGGATGAAGAGGAGCTGGGGTTGATGTGGGTGTCCCAGAAACATAGTGACAACACGGTGTGCTGTGGGGTCACCGGGGACTCGTGGAGGAGGGGTGTCAGGTCCGGGGGACTGGGCTCCGGCCACAGCTCTTCCCAGCCCTGGGACATTGACAGGTGAAGCCGGTGTCTGTGCTGACCGGAACTGCCCAGAGCTGTCCAGCACCCCCGCCAGCTACACGATGTGGTGCTGAGATGTGGCGGGAGCAGCCGAGGGGCGTGTCCTCATCCTCGGCATGGAGGCTGTGCCCGCCGTGTCTGTGCCGTCTCATGTACATGTCCCGTCAGCCCCCTCACAGGTGGTTACAGCTCAGGGACAAGCGAGAGTCACACGAGCCGGGTCACAGTGGCCGTCAGCACCTGCTGCAGTGCCAAGCTCCCAGCCATGCATGGCTCTGTGGCATGCCCATGGAGCTGTCAGAACCACTGCCACACTGTGTTTGGCAGAAAGGCACTGTCAGGGCCATGGCAAAAGAGAGCAGCTGCCACAGTGTCACCAACACAGGATGTAGAGATCCCTTGGAGCCAGGCATGGTAGCACATGCCTATAGTCCCAGCTACATGGGAGGCTGAGGCAGGAGGATTGCTTAAGCCCAGGACCTGAAAAGCAGCCTGAGCCACACAGCAAGACTCTGGCTTAAGACCAAAGCCTTTGCATTGATGGCGGATGGCATCCGGAAGCTGGCCAGGCAGGTGTTGCTGTGGCACTCCCAAACCTCTGCTTTCCTTCCAAGCTGCGTTTGCCTTCATCGTGTTGAAGGACGAGGCTGGTGATGCGGATGCGGTGGTGAATGAGCTCAAGTCGGTGGTGGCTGCCAAGATTGCCAAATACGCTGTGCCCGATCAGATCCTGGTGAGTGGCGCCTTGGGGGCACGCTGCTCTTGTTAAGCCCCTTCTGCATGTCCTACGGTGTCAGTGACGATAGTTTTGGACGAGCTTATCACCCGCTTCCATCAGCACCAAAACAGGCATGAAGCTGGTGTGTGGTACGCGCCTATGATCCCAGCTACTTGGGAGGCTGAGGCAGGCAGATCAAGACTTTGAACCTAGTCTGGACAACTTAGAGAAGCCCTTGTATAAGATTTTAAAAGGCGTGGTGGGGGGCATTAGGGCCGTCACAGCTCAGCATGTGGCCCCAGGTTCAATCCCCAGTGCCACAAAACGAAACAACAAGCACTGGGGTGATCTGCTAGGTTCCCCAGGGGGTGGGTGAGGCTTTGGCCTGTGGCTGCCAGAGATAAGCCCAGGACTTGGCGCTGAAGAGAATTAGGGATTTTATTTTCCTTTTGTGGCTCTGCGTTAGCTCCCCACCGCTCTGACAAAATAACTGAGACAATTTAGAAGGCAGAAAAGCTTGCCGTAGCTCCCAGTACCAGAGGTTCCTGTGGGCGGTGGGTGGTCAGAGGGGTGGGAAGATCCAACTTCCAAAGCCCACCACATCCTGGGATGCACGGGCTCAGCATTACACCTCAACATGTGGGCTTTGGGGGCCTCCTAGATCCACATGTAGCAGAGCAGAACCCGGGGCCTTGCACATGCCAAGCATATGCTGTGCCCCTGTGCTATCCCCACCTGAATTAAAGTAGGTTTTCATAGAGAGGGCTGGAAACACCGGCGTTCTCCCCCATTGTGGCCTCTGAACACATCTGCTGGTGCCATTGAGAGGAGGGCCCATCACCCTGGGCAAAGCTGGGCCACCTTGGCCCCAGGGCCTCCCTTTCTCCCTGCTCGGCACCCCAGGTGCCAGAGCTCGGGGCAGGGGTCCGGGGTTGCTCAGTGTCCTTGCTGCTGGCCTGGCGTGTGGAGCTGCTGGGGGACCCAGCTGAGTCCCAGAGACAGAGCCACTTGAATGTCCGAGAGGTGCTGAGCCTTGTCCCCAGACAGCTCCTAACCTTCCCCCACTGAGCGGCCCCATCTGGTCCATGGCTGCTTGAAAATGCTGTGTTAAATTTTCAGACTTCCTTCTGTGAAGTCGCTGTCAGCTCTCAGGAAAGACAAAACTCAAAGTTGCTGCAGGGGAAAGGGTACAGGATGTGGCTGGGTCCCTGCCCTGGAGCCTACAGGCTGGTGGTGGTGATGTCAGCAAGGGGGTTGTGTGTCACTGCTTAGCAGGGCTGCAGCTGACCTGCCCCATGGTCACTCCTGCCCTCAGCCTTGGGCCCAGGCCACGGCAAGGTAAACCAGAGACCTTCGTGCAGTCTCAGCCTGAGTGTGTCCCTCACCCCAGGCCACCATGCTAATGCTGCACCCTGTTGCCAGGTGGTGAAGCGTCTTCCCAAAACCCGCTCTGGGAAAGTCATGCGGCGCCTCCTGAGGAAGATCATCACGGGCGGGGTCCAGGACCTGGGGGACATCACCACCCTGGAGGACCCCAGCGTCATCGAGGAGATCCTGAGAGCCTTCCAGACGCACAAAGAGAAAGGGGCAGCCGCCAAGTAGTATGTGGCCTCAGCCGAGTTTGGACCTGCCGCAGGGGCGCAGCCTCACTTGCCCTTCAGGACGTCCCAGCACACAGGCCACACCCCAAGGTGAAGCCGGCCTGCAGCCCCTCTTCCTCTGGGCCCTGAAACCTGACCTGCCAGGATGCCAATGCACACGATGCCTCTGCGCCACTCACCTTGGGCTCGGTCTGCAGGCCCAGGACATCAGCAGCATCTGCGGCTCACACCCAGGGCAGCCCCATTTCTCCAGAAGTTTCCAGAGACAAAAGACAGAGGTGGTGCTGTTTGTATGCTTGAATTTGGAGAGCACTGGGGGAGTGTTCCAGTGTGAGGTGAGGGCGCCCACACGCACACATGTGCACACACACGTGCACACACACACGCACACTGCAGCAGAGTCAGGGAAATCTGCGCTGCCTCCATCAGTGGGGAGGGCGTGCTCTTTGATGCCTGTTAGCGAATCTGGACTTCTGGTCAGATGTCTGTGCCTCCACCTGTTTGCTGTCCTGGTAAATCTGTGCCTCCACCCCATGTCGGTCCCTCCTGACATTGGTCTGTCGCCTCAGGACGGATGAGCCCTGACTTCCCTAGCTGTGAAGCTGCTCTGGGTGGATTTGTTCCTCTGAGCTGTGACCTGGAAGGGTTTGCTTTCTGCTCGATGCCTCAGGAAAACTCAGATGAACCTCAGGGCAGTTCAGCCTGAACGGGGATCCTGGTCTGGGGGCAGGGGGAGCCAGAGACCCTGGCAAGATGTGCGCTCCGCCCGGGCTCCTCCTCAACGTGCCTTAAGACCGCATTGTGCCGTGGGTCAGGTCTCTCAGTGCTCGCTGGGAGCCAGGCCTGGTGCGCAAGGCCGAGGTGTGGGGCAGGTGGAGGCCACCCCTGCACACCCCGGGGCTGTGTGAGTGTTCATAGGATTGGGTGCTGCACACCGGACAAGGCCTTGCCACATGGGCTCCAGGCGATCGGGTGAGCCCCGAGACCCCACAGTGGCAGAGGCTACAGTGGGCACCCCTCTGAGCAGCAGTGCTCATTACCACTGGTGATGCTAAGCCACGCAGCGGGCCGCACAAGAGCCGTGCCGCTGTTACAAGATGACTTGGGTCTCCGGCTCTCATGTGGTTAGCAGGGATGTTCAAATAAAATTTTATTTTGTTCATGCTCCATGCAGGGCTGTGCTTTGTTGGATGCGATTGTTTCCTTCCCTTGGTGTTGGGCAATGAACCCCCCTCGCCGCTGGGTTGTTCTTTCCGCTGCAGTCATCCTAAGCACAACACCAGAAGGGCAGCAGGTCTGTCCCCTCAGAGGGTGGTGCTAACAAAGCCTGTCCTCTGATTGAGCAAGCACACTGGCAGCTGCTTGTCTTGCCTCCCTGGCACAGGCACTGCCTCCCGTGATACCTCACCCAGTGCCCAGCCACAGGTGGCACTCAGGCCACAAGCTCTACTGCGTAAGAATCCAGGCCCTCAGTCATTGAAGCTGCATCTCAAATGTCCGGTAGTGACAGTGGCCATGGCGACCAGCTGGACAGCACAGCACAGGCATCCATCACCACTGGTGGTCCACACCAGCCCTCTGGGTGTGGGGAGCTGTCGGCCTGCTGCCCCAGTGTGTGGGGCCGTTAGAAGGAGAAGCCACTGAGCTGGTGCCAGGAGCTTTCACCCCAGCTGCCTGGGGGGCAGGAGCCAGGAGGCCTGTTCCCTGGGCTGTCCCCTTGACCCCTTGGGTCATGAGCTAGATGAGCACAGAGGTGAGATGTGGGGACCCCAGCATTCATGTGAGAGATGGAACGGAACAGCAGCTTGCTGGCAGCAGCCTGGCTTCACCTCCCAGGCTGGTGTCTCTGCAGGCGGCTGTCCCGCTTACCCCTCTGCTGGCAAAAGCTGTGGCTTGTGCCGGCCTCCCCCTACTTCGTCAGTGACCCCACCCTGGCTGCACGTGCTCCCTGTATCGCAGTTCCCAGGCTTGGGGACAGGTTCAGGCCTGGCCACGTGACACTGACAGGGCCCCTGACAAGCCCACAGAGATACCACGAATGAGGGCACAGGATGTGGCTGCCACAGGGAGGTCCGTCCCAAAACACAGCTGCATGGCCGAGCCCCTCCAGACTTCTCCCTTGCTGTTGGTTTTCTGCTTTAGTCAGCATGTCCTGACAGGGACACAGTTGGTGGCCTTGAGATTCAGAGAGAAGGGCAGGCAGCTACAGCAATGGCACAGAACCATGCAGAGGAGCATCAGAGGCATCAGGGATTGGCAGCCCAAATGTACAGAGCCCCTAAATGTACAGGCCAGCACAGCAGGTGATGTTTGTGGTGACACGTGGTATCACCATGTGATGCCAACACATGGTGATACCACGTTTGTCAGACCCAGGATGGAGTAGGGCACAGTGGGTTCTAAGAACAAGCTGTGTCATGCCCAAAAGGAGACACAGCTCCTCAGGATGCCTAAGTGCCAAGGGGAGTGTATCCCCATAGCATCTGAAATAAAATGGCACAGAAGAATGACGGCCATGGTCCGTGACCTGGCTGCACACAGCTCCCGTGGGCGAGTCATGGGAAACAGCCTGCAGCTGGACCAGGAAGAACTTTTCTGGAGATGGCAATTTCTTTCTTTTTGATAGGAGTTGTGCCAACATGAGCTTTAGTGACTTCTAACCTGAAATGTATAGTTTCTTCCCTTCATCTTGTTTGGGAATTTTGCTGCATAACAGGATTAAGCCACATGAACACATCATTTCTGACCCTGGAATACCAGCTGGGACTTGTTTCCTTTGGGTGCTGGGCATGCAACCGGAGCCTCACATATGCCTAGGTTGGACTGCACCCGAGCTGCACGCCAGTCCCTACCAGTAGCTTCTTGTTTGTTTTTGTAGTACTGGGGATCAAACCCAGGGCCTTCACTCTGAGCCACATCCCCAGCCTTTTTATTTGTATTTCTTATTTTGAGACAGGGCCTCACTTAGTTACTAAGATGCCCAGTATCAGACAGGCAGAAACAACTCTTGCTATGGACTGATTATTTGCTACCTACCCCGTTCATTGGTAGAAATCCTACCTCCAAAGTGATGGTATTTGGAGGCGAAGGTGGGGTTAGAGCCCTTACAGGCAGACACCCAAGAGCCTGCTTCCTGTCTGCTGTTTGCCATGTGAAGGCAAGATATTGAAGGAGATTCTGATTTTCTCTCATTAAAAAGACGGAGCTGCACATCCATGCACATCACTGTACCGTGGGGTGGAGATGCATGCTTGAAGGTGGCCTGCAGATCTTCAGCAGCATCAGTGAAAATGTGGCACAAATGAAAAGCATGTGTGAGAGGCCCTGAGGCTTCACTGGAAATCATTTGCGGTGGCGGGTGTTGTGAATTAGTTACCAGCTTCTACTCCTGGAGCTGGGACGGAGGATCCAGGGCCTCAAGGCCTGGGCCTGCCTGGGCCAGGTGTTCACGGAGTGCTGTGGTCTGTGGCGTACACAGTGGCCTGCGATGCTTCCAGGGGCTGTCCCAGGCTCCTGGGATGCTCCCCAGGACAGTGCCGGCCCAACAAACAATCCCAGGATGCTGAGGCTGCACCTGAACTTTGAAGGACTCTGCTTCACATGGGCCTGGCCTGGGGGCCTGGAGAGCAGCTCTGGGGACCACTGACCAGGCTCCATACAACCCTTATTTTCTTCTGTTTCATCGTAAGACAGTGGATAAAGAACTGTCAAGCTAGAAGGTTTTTTTTTTTTGGTGAAAACAAACAAATCCAAGTGTTTAAGACATAAATGTATATCAGAGAAAGTTGGTGTGAAACACAACCCAGGTAGCCCCACTGAAATCACGACTGTGGCCTGCCAGATGCCACCCTGCCCATCCTGGTTGGAATCTGTGTGCCTGCTGAGCACCAGGGTTTGGGGAGACCCTCGTGGCCCTGCCTCTGGCACAGTGGACTCCAGAGGGTGTGACGGGCAAAGTGGACCCAGAGCACAGGTCCATTTAGTGTGGTCTCTCTGGGGTGTGGATGTTAAACCAGGAGGGCAGGAAGCTGAGTCCCTGGAAATCAGCCAGTGAGGCAGGAAGGCCTTTCTTCCGGGAGTTTATGAATGCTGTAGGCTATGAGGACTTAGGAGTTTATCAGGTTAATAATATCCCTTTGTTATTGCAGGCTGATCAGGTCTGCAACCTCCTAAACGAGTGTATGGCAAAGGCTAAATAAAAAGAGGCAAATGGAATGATTTCAGGGCTCCAGGAGGATCAAAGCTCTCTCACAGAAGTTAAGGTTCTCTCAGGGCTAAGACCAAGACCTTCTTTGGGTCACCTGTATTTATCATAAGAAGGGAGGGGAGTACTCAAGAAGGGTGGAACCACTCACGGACATCTCTAAGTAGAGCATTAAGTTAATCCTCTCAAGAACAAGATGCCTGAGGCTATATCCATAGCTATATCATATAGAGGCTATATCCATAGCTATATCATCCATATGAGCTATATCCAGTTGAGGTCTGATCCAGGTGTCCTTGGCTATGATCTTGTCTTATCCTTTGAGGCTTTCTGGCTTCATCCACCACTACAGGTTTTAGTAGGGATTAGTGACTCACAGAGGTTCACTTACTATGAGTCCGCCATTTCCAGATAAGGAGCCTAGGGCTTGGACAGATTCACAAGTGAACATGAAAAGCCAATTGATTAATTTAAGTCCTGCTCAGGTCTGCTTCGTAGTGGTCTCCATCCGGAGCTGAGGAAGTGGGAGTGCTCCAGGAGCCACACACTTAGCCAGCAATGAAGGCAGCCCCACCTAGGACCCCACTGGTGCTGCCCATCTGCTCGGTTGTCCTCCCTCAGCTTCCTGCAAAGCCCAAGCTATGTAAGCCTGTTGACAGCTCAGAGGCCACCACTTCTGTCTGCCCTCTGCTTCATCCTATGATATGAGGACTTTGGGGCTACCCCACACTCACTCCCCACCAGTCTTGCTGCAGGGCTGCTATTGCCCTCCACCTGGCTACCTGGTCCCAGAGTTTACATTTGGTTTGGTCACAGTGGCTGTTGCTGAATGCAAAGCTGCTCCCCCGACCTGTACCAGTTTTTATCCAAATATATGGAAGGTGTTGGTTAGTGACCCTGAAAAACAGGGTGCCAGCTCAGCCAAGGCGACAAGCCAGAGGGCAGGAGCACTACCCTACATCAGCCCAGAGGAGGGCTGGGTGTTGGCTGTCTCAGTGCACTGTCAACAAACTTGTGAGGCCCTACGGAGGTTAGGAACCCTATCAGAGTGACCAGTGTTACAACGTCTCTTGGAAGAGGGTGGAATTTTCTTGGTCAGGGTCACCAACTGGGTCATCTTAGGTTTTGTCTCTGTCATGTAGATCCAAGCTTGGACCTTATAACCTTTGGAATGACCAGCACACCTTGACCAACCCCTTCTAAAGGGCATCACCTCACCCCAGGCATCACCTCTGTGACTGATAGTGAAAGAAACACTGAACCTCTATAAGTACATGTTTACACAACCAAAGGAAAAGCCAAGCAATAGTCATCAGAAGAGAAATGATTAGTGGTTTTCAAGAAATGGTTTCTGAGTACAATAAAATGATTACTCAGTGAACCATGTCAACCATGAAATGTCAGTGTCCCGGGAATGACGGGCTAATGAACTCAGCTTTCAACAAGGTAACAGTATGTCCACACCCCTTGTTGATGCTGAGTGCCAAATGTCTTTCTTAAGGAGCACTTAACTTGTCGAGTATGGGTTGACTTTAAGAATTCTTCCAAGTAGGGCCATTTAGGCAGTTTTCCAGTTGGCCTGGTTTGAACCCTTACTCTACCTGGCCCTGCTTCTCGCTAGGCAGACTTATGTCCAGCCCAAGAGCCTCGTCCATCCATAGAGGCAGCCACTGGCCTGTTCTGTTGGTTTCTGCTGGATCCTATCCTCTCATGTGGCAGCTCAGGGTCGGGCACCTCACCATGCTGGGAGCATAGGAGTCGGACTGTGGACAAGGAGACTCTAGTCATATGCTGCAGGATACATGAAGCAGGGGGAACACGGGAGCCCCTCCACCACAGACGTGCTCAAGCAGTGGCCCGGCTATCCCACAGGTGGCATTCATGTCAGAGACCATCCCCTGATGGTGGCCAAGACTCAGGTGACTGCTGATCTTAGCTAGCAAGCAGCCTAGAGGTCAGTAGCTCAGTGGCACCTTGAGGACTTGGGCTCCCGGCTCTTTCGGTGTGTGCCCCCAGCATAACTTGGGATGAAAGCAGGGCCAGTGTCATTTGTCTCTTTTATCAAAAACTTTCCTGGAGATCAAAAGAACTCCTACATTTCTGTTTTTATTTCCCAGCAAGAACTCTGCCTGTGGCCACCTTAGCTTCCGAGCTGTAAGGGTGACGGTTTATCTTTTCCAGCTCTTGGTGGAAAGGGCCAGCCCAATAATAGGGTTTGCCAAGGTTGCGTGGAGGGACACAGAGGCCAGGCACCCAAAGGCATGAGTGGTGGTGGACAATAACTGTCCAGTCCTAAGAGACAGCATTGCTTTTCCTGTGCCAACTCCCACGAGCACATTCAGATCCTTCCACTAAATGTTTCCCTCGTTTGTCTTACTTTTTCCTTTTCTGAGATGGGTGGGGTGGTGGTGTCTCATTATGTTGCCTGTGCTGGCCTTGAACTCCTGGGTTTAAGCAACCGCCCTATTTCAGCCTTCCTGTGTGTGCCACTGTGCCCGGCCCTCTCCCATCTTAAGCTGGCTTTTGTGAATGTGTTTCTGGCAATGGTGTGTAATCTAGTATGATGTCTTTACAGTGCACCAGCTTGTCTATGATTCTCTGCTGTCCCACCTGAACGGAAACCTGAGCCTCCCAGCAGAGCTCAGCAGCTTACCCTGCACCCTTTTCTCCATAGCCACTCCTCTTCCTACTTCCCTGGGCTTGGCCCACTTGCCCTTCCTTGCCTCTTTCAGACCATTCTTGATCACTCAATAACCCTAAATCTGCCCCAAGCTGTCATCCCCCCTCCCTCCCCCCAACCTGCCCCTTGCAAACTTGCTTATGCAAGGCTGGTGTGCAAGGCTCTTCCTATGGTTGCTTCTACCTGAAGGCCCTTGTGCCCCCAGGGCACCCTGCCTGACCTTATGCTTCTGGCCTCCTGCCTGCAGGTTTCCAGGGGATATCGGTGTGAGGACATGAAAGAGCATGGGCTGGGGACAGACCTCTGGACTACAAGTGGCCTTGCTTCCGGCATTAGCTTCCAGGTGTCCTGTTGGCTATCTGCTCAGCATCAGGGGCTGCTTCTCCCATGTGGGTAGTCCTGAGTGTGTAGTCTCAGGCTGGTGCTCCAGAGGGTGTGATCCTCATCCTGAGTCCTAGGTTGAGGAACCAGCCCAGAGGGCCTCAGGCAAGGGCTGCTCTGTTCCCAGGGGACATTGGCCATGACTGGAGACGCCTGTGATTATCATGGTGTTAGTCAGCTTTTTGTCACTGTAACAAAGACCTGAGATAATCAACTTACACAGGGAACAGTTATTTTGGCTTAGGTCATGGTCAGTTGGCTCCAGGCTTTGATGGCAGTGTTTCCTGGTGGGGCATCTGCTGGAGCAAACCCTCACTTCCACACAGGGAAATGAGTAAGAGGAAGGGTTGGAGTCCCACGTCCCCTTTCAGGGCACAAACCCAGTGACCTGGAGACCTAGGCCCCACATCTGAAGGTCTCTACCATTTCCTTTACCACACAAGCTCTGGTGCTCTGATCCGCATGGCAGCCGGAGGGTGGGTGGGTGGAGGCTGGATACTGATAAACTTTCTAGTGCACAGGATATGTCCCCTGCCTGTTAGGTCCCTCACATTGTACCCTGCCCAACTTGAAGTGAAAAACTCTGACAGACAACTATTCTGTTCAAATAGAAGGCCCCCTCACTCAGCTCAAGAGAATAAAGTAAGTCTGTTTATTAGGATGGTTCCCAGGCCTAGTTCTCAGGTTTGTAGGAAACCTCCTAAGTCTACAGAATGCCACACTGTAAATCAGCAACATGCAGATGTCCTCCTGCACTCCCCTCCCCTGGTGGGGCACCAGACCCACCAATCACCCCTGAGAAACTTAAAATTTTCACCTTCCTCAGTGCAATTTCCCCCTCCCATAATATAGTCTATAAAGTAGCCCCCCTTCCTTTGTTTGGGGCCAAAGGCTTTTTTGCCCATGGCCAAGCTGCCACCAATCTGAAATGAAGATATTGCTGCTTGCTTCAATCTTGCCTGTCCTGGTGGTCTCAGTTGCTACTTGGGGCCTAGCCTGACACTTCCCTCCTCAAAGTGTTAATTAACAGCACTGAAATGAAGAAACCCGATCAAGCCAATCACAGTGTTTTCATTCCTCTGACCATAACTGGAATGGAGAGAAAGGAAAGTTGATCTGGTTGGCAGCTGGGCTGGAAGGTGGGGTGGGAGGATGGACCACCGAGATAAGACATAAGCGAAGTACACCTCACCAGGACGTGTAAGCAACAATTCTAACCCATGCTGTGCAACTTTCATGCTCTAAGTTGGGACCATCCCAATAATGTTTCATGCAGTCCTGTGTGCTCCAAAAGGAGGCTATGAGCTCATCTCTCAGCAGCTCCCATGGGCTCTTGTGTTCCAGACAAGACCCCCACCAAGACTACAACTAACTCCAGCCCCTGCCCTTGAGGTCTCTTCTATGACACCTCCCCTTTGAGGGGCGCACAGGTCCTCTGGCTTATTCCTTTGCTGTCGCAAGTTTAGTAATACCAACTTACTATTTTTTGTGTTCCTGTCTGTGCATTTCTTCTTTTTGTTTTGAGACAGGGCCTTGCTGTCTACTTCAGGCTGGCCTTGAACATGTGGCAGTTCTCTTGCCTCAGCCTCCTGAGTGCTGGGATTACAGGTGTACACCAGCAGGCCTGGCCTGACCTGTGCATTTTTATGCTTGGTGAAGTACAAATAAGCCCAATGCAATAGACTTAACAGTAACCATCAGCTTGCCTTGGAAACAAACAGGAAGATGTTTTCTTGGGAAACTGGGGAAAGGATTTTCAGCAATCATACTGGAAGTGGGCCTGGAGTGATAAAATGGTTCTACCCACCTGGGGGTGACGGAAAATGTATCACAAGGAAGAAGGAATAATATGGACAAGGGCAGAAAGACGTAGATTTAGAAATGGAGGGCAATTTCTGGTGTCTGAAATGGGATTAGGGCAGGGAGGATAACACAGCTGGGGCCAGATTGTACAGCCCTTAGTTAGAATGACCCCTGACACTGTAGCTACACAGGCTGTATTCAAGGACACAGAATAAAGTAAAGTGTTGGCAAGGCTGGCTGAACTACAACCTTGGTGGAACCCTAAGGAAATGGATTTGTGTAGGACAAGAGCTCCGCCCCTGCCCCAGGCTGGCTCCGTAACGCCGAAGGAACGCGGCCCATTCTCGTGGCATTCTAGCGCCGTCCAGCGCTGAAAAAGAGAACGGCACGTCTGCAGCCCGAAAGCCTCGGGGCGCAGTCGGGGAGCCCAAGCCGGGCCCGAGCGTGCTTCTCCCAGGGTGACTCCCGGAGCAGCGTGAGCAGGGCTCGGCGTCCGGCCCGGAAGCCCCGATCCCATCGCCCTGCACCCGCCACGCGCTGTCGCAAGGTCACGTCCCCTGTAAGACAGGGACTACATTAAGGTTCACACGGATTTGGGCGACCTGATTAAAGCCATTCCATTCGTTTGTGCCCAAGGGCGAGCGTCGCGTCTGCTTTCATCCCGGCTCAGCCCCTGGACGCTGTAACCCGTGACGACCCCACCGGCGCGTTTTCTTCGACTCTGCCGCTAGCGACGGCCTCTGTTGGTCCCACCTTCCCGAAGCGCGACCTTGGAGCCTTCATAGAAGGGCGGTGTCCTCAACACCTGACCTAACCGGAGCGAACTTCCCGCCCAGGCTGCTCGGGCGCGGCGGCTGCTCGCGTGTCTTGGACACAGGGCCCCTGTCGGGTGCACCCTAACACCAACGCGCCAGAGCCCAGGGCAGGGCGCCCGCGAAGTCCGGAGCCGCCCCTCTGCGCCGGAAGAGGCGGGACGGGGGACGTGACGTCATTTCCGCGCGCCGCGGGCGGGGCGGGAGCGAAACCTCGCTGCTGGGGCGGCCTGCGGCTCTAGGTGCCCGGGCTGCAGGATGAGCGAGGCGGACGGGCTGCGGCAGCGCCGGCCGCTGCGGCCCCAGGTCGTCACGGACGACGGCCAGGCCCCAGAGGTCAAGGATGGCAGGTAGGGCGGCAGGTAGGGCGGTGGCTGCGCTGGAGTCCCCGGGTGTCCCAAGCCTGTCCCGACCCACGCGGGATTCTCTGTGGGGTGACAGTCCCTGGCCCGGCCCTCCCTCACCGGGTCCACTGTGTAGGGTGACAGCCCTTGGTTGTCCAGCTGCACCTACCTCATGCTGTGTGGACGCCTCTCCAGCCCTGCAGAGGACAGGTGTAGGCAGATGCTGTGGAGTCAGCCTTGCGGGTTTCCCGCTGCTTACGGAGGGGGAGGGGAACTGGTTGTTACGGTGAATAAATTTTGGGCTTTTGGTCTTTGCTTCCTCTTCAGTCCTCCAGAATCTAAGTACGCTGTTTCTTTGTTAAAAACCGAAGCGTGATCCTTACACATAGAATTTCAGATACTTAAAATTCATTTTTCAATTTTGTTTCCTGAGTTTCAAAATTTGAACTTTTAGGGCAAGCCAGGACAGACCAAGCCCCAAGTTTTGGCATTAACTTATATGTTCATAGAAATAAGAGGACTGTTTATTGGTCATTCAGAGTGTGCCGAGAGGTGTGATACCTACTGAGCAAGCGGTGTTTTTGCCCGTGATATGCTGAATTTTTTCGGTGATGATTCATGAGAAGGACGTACTGAGGGAGATCGATAGTCGCAGCAGTGTGTGGCTCTGGGAAGGCAGTTTGGAGGTTTTGTGGCAGTTAGTGTCCCATCGCTGGGCTGTGGAAAGCCGTCCCCCTGACAGTGAGTGACTGGCTGACCTAGACTGTGTGAATTCTCATTTCTGAGGCTTTTCAGGGGTACAGTTGGGCAAAGCAGGGGCAGCTAGCTGGTCAGCCTGCTTCCTGTAGGTACTGGGAATTAATCTCTGCTGGAAAGTGTGTCCTTTAGAATGGGCATATGTGGCTGGCCGTGTTCTATGACAGAAACCTGAAAACAGGCACTTTGACCTGAAAAATGAAAGAGCAGTTGGCAACAGAGCTGGGCAGTGTGTTGCAAGTTTGGCACAGAGTATAGGAGGCACTTGTTACAGAGCTCGAGGGCAGATTTAATTAAATTGTTTTTTTCAGGTTGTCTGTGGGGATTTTTCTTCCTTAATGACAAGGTAAATTAGGTGCTCCAAAGTCATCTTGCCACCTGATGTTTTCTGGTGTGCATTTTCCATGTGTGTTTATTTAAGATATTTTCTTGACTTGCCTGTCGGTGGACCTAGTTCTTATTTTCCTGTGTTTTTGAAATCTTTGTTTTATTTGTCGATCCCTTTCTGATGTGTCTGTAATGGTTTCTTTCAAAGTGAGTTCTTCTCACCCACCTTCCTTTCTACTTTTAACATCATAGCTGTTTTTCTTATTTTTGTCGTTATTCTTCTGTATTTTTCATTTTTCTGTGGTAATTAACCTGGGAAGTCTGTGGATAGAGGTGCAGTGAAGAAATTTGAAAGAAGTAGAAAGAAAAAAATGTTAGAGAAAACTTTAGATGTGCTAAACAGGGCAGAGGGAACCTTGCAGGACATTATTAAACTAACAGACGAGAAGGACAGCGAGTTGGGTAGTAGAGAGGACACCTAGTGATACTTTAGCAGGTCTCCTGGCTCTTGGTATGAAAGGTAGCATTTGCTGTATTTTACTGAGGAGGTCACTGAGGTAAGAGGAATAGTGTTAATAGAGAAATGAAAGTGAATGAAGAAGGGTAGAATTAGCAGCTAGGCGGTGATTGAAGAACAATTTAGGATTGTGCTTTGGAGATAACATTTTGTGGTAAAGCTCTCCAATTTCTATATTTGAACAATAATGGGGCATTTGATTGCTAACTTTAGTGTGGAGCATAGATGAGCTAAGCACTTTAACATACTAGTGCAAACTTAGAACTATTATTTGGCAACAGTTTTTCCAAATGTGTTGGAGACTTTATTGAAAGAAAAATCGTTGCACTGTGAAACTGTTTTTTCCCATTGGTAACATAGTTACATCCAGGAGGAGAACTGCTTAATGTCCATGTGTAACTGTTTAGGAGTGAAGAATGAATATATTGAGAATTAATGGGTGATTTTTCAGTAAACTGTGGGAGGCTTTTAGACCAAATAAAAATCTCTGCTATATCGCTCTCTCTCTCTCTCTCTTTTTTTTTTTTTTTTAATCATTTTAAGACTGAAGTTAGGGAGGCAGTGTGGAGGAGAAGGGGCAGTCATGAAGAGGAGTCAGGAATCTGGAATTTTTATCTCTGCTCTGCCTGGTGTGTGCTTTTTAAATGACTCATTTATCTTGTTAATTTCCTAATTTTCTTTCAAAGCAACAGGATGATTCTAGGAGAGCCAATTTGAAGAAATGTGGGAAATGTGAAAATTCAAGGTGCACTTGTTTAAAATGTTGGGACATGCTGCTCTTTGACTTTTTCAGGTCCCAGGAATCACCTTGATCACCAAGGTTCTGGTACCCCATGGGTGAGGGCTAACAGGTTTTTCCACAGAAGTCACTGGAAGCTTTTGGTCTCCTGGAGTGTGTCCTTCAGGGCTTTTAGTCCATGGTTTAAGGCGCCGATGTCTGATGTGCAGGAGGTAGAGAATGTCCTTCAGGTTTGGCAGGTGTGAGTACAGAGGATTTTGTAAATTGTGGCTGGGTCAGCAGCAATTGTCAGGCTGTGTTGCATCACCGTGGTTGTGTTCTTGGCCTTAGAGACTGCAGGAAATTTCAGGAAATTTCACATGTCCTCCAGAGAGAAGCTTTCCTTCAGGCTTTTCTTGAGAGATGGGACAAACAAGTTGACTTCTCAGACTGCACCTGGGAGCAGGTCACCAGCCTTCCTGGATGTGTCTACACCACAGGCCGAGAGTGTGTGGTGCCCGGTCAGTGAAAATGAGTTAAGAGCAGCATCTTTTATTTAAGTTAGGATAATGTGGTGTACAATCAGAGGGAGGCCAACATAGAGAAAATGGGGAGGAGGTGTAGTTGACTGTGTGTGGGCACCACAGGGAGGATGGCCTGCCAAAGCATTAATGAACCTCGTCCAGGCAAGGCTGCATGGGCACAGGAGCCAAGTTTGCCCATTTGTGTAGCGAGCTGGCTCCATTTTGAGCCCTCAGCAGCCACACATGGTGAGTGGCTACTGTCTGTCATCATGGAGGCTAAGTTAAGCAGTGCTGCTCAAGGGTTTTCTTTAGATGTAAGCGACTGTTTCTAAAAGTTGACCACAGAGCTTCCGGTAGTCACTGGATAATGATCAGGTGGGGTTGGGAGGTGGGATGGGCTTTCCCTGGGAGAGGACGTGCATAAGAGAATGTCCAGTGGGTATCAGGAATGACGATGGAAAGGAAGTGTTTCCCCGGCCCACTCTGGACCCCCAGGCCAGAAGCTCTGGGCCTTGCTAAAGCGTATGCAGGTGATGCAGAGGTGCTGCCTTTGAGAGCATTGCACTGGGTGGCCTCTCAGTCCCCGCAAAGGACAGTGTGTGTCACAGATCATCTGTCGTTGTGGCTGCTTTTCTAGCTGTATACACTGTCACTTTCAGTCCTGGTTGGGCGTTTTATTTTTGACATAAATGAACCAGTTAGCATTATATGAAGGGGCAACCAGATACTTAAGTAGGGTGTTGCAAACTCTGAATCAGATTTCCAAATTAAGCTTTTTAAAATATCAAATACAGGGGCAGGGGTGCAGCTCAGTGGTAGAGTCTGTGCTTAGCATGTGTGAGGCCCTGGGTTCTATCCCCAGCAGCCCTGGCCTAATGTAAGGTGCAGCATGGCTGAGGGGAGTTAGTGTCATTCGGGATGGGTGAGAAGAATGGTTAGGCAAGAAAAAAGGAAGCTGCACTTTGGTTAGACTGTTACTGTTTCTTGAATGATAGCCAGTGAAGGATTACAGCTTCCCCCGGGAGGCTGGGGAGGAGTGTATGATCCTGTCAAGTTTTCTAAAGGACAGAAATACAGGTTGGACTTGTGCAGAAGGCCCTTGAGGTCAGGGCTCAAGGTAGGCAGGCTTCCCTCTTCCCTGTGCACCTTTGCATATGTTCTGTTCTGGGGACTCTGCTTCTAAAAGAGTCCACACTAACAAAAGCCTTTTTGCCACCAATACTCACAGTCAGCCCTACAGCTCCTTGTGTGGGAAAGTTGTTGACTTTGTTTCTTTAATTTTAAGCATCTTTATCTAGAAGCAATTCATACATGCAAAACCCACCTATTTATCCACTCCAATTCTGTGTGTTTTAGTATCATCATGGAATTTTGCAACAGTTACTGCCCTCTAGCTTAAAACATTTTGATCACTGTCTTGGTTATTTCTCTCTGGTTTCTGAGACAAAATACCCAATGCCTAAAATTAAGGAAGGAAGGTTTATGTAGCTCACAGTTTGTGGCGGTTTCAGTCCGTACGTGGCTGGCTCCAAGGCAGAGTGACACATGGCAGAAGGCAATAGTTCATGGCAAAGGAAGGAAGCAAGAGCAAAAAGGGAGCAAGAGCAAAAAGGGAGGAGCGGCAGCGAACAAGCCTGTCTTTGCCTCCCTTATATTGTATGCAGGCTACCCACCCTAGAAGTCAATCATAAACTCTGGAAGCCCACCCCATGACTGCATGAGGCTTTGGTTGGACATCTAGACACAAACCATAACAGTGTTACGTTTTCTTATTTGAAGTGAAATTCACAGTGTACAGTGATACAGTGTTACAGTATATAACTCTGGTATTTGGCTGTTCACAGTGTTTGGCAACTACCAACTCTCTCCAGTTTTAAAACTTCTCATCACCCCATTGAAACACCTCCTACTGGTGAAGAAATCATAAGTGAGTGAAAGGAGCCGTTTGTTTCCTGCTCTCGTGGGTGGGAAGTCCCTCAGTAGATGAGTGGAAAAACGAGTTCTGTGTTACACACACAATGGAGGGTTCTTCAGCCAGCAGAAGGACCGGTGTACTGGTGCATTCTGCAGGGTGGGTGGACCTGGAGGGCCAAATGTTGGGTGGAAGAACCGTGTCACAGAGGCCGAACCCTGTGCGCCCCCTTCAAGTGAGTGTCCGGCACAGGCACATCATCACATGGTCTCACAGTCTGACCCCGAGGGCTCTCAGGCCCGATGCTGCCCCCTCCCCTTGCCTTTGGCAGCAGCATTGCTGGTGGCAGCCAGAGCCTGGAGTCAGAGCTGGCCCTTTTGGTGCCTGCTGGTTTGTTGGATTACTCATCCATCCCTGTCCAGGGTGAACAGGTCCCCTGAACTAGGTGCCTGTGGATGTATTAATCCCCTCGTCAAAAGAACAACTCCAGAGCCATATATCTGGGCTCAGGGGCTAGTCCTTTGGGACTAAAGCTCCAGCCACCATCTCTGGTAACCTTTTATTCACTGAGAACCAAGGGGGCGGCCCCCGATCTCAACTATGTTTTGCAAGGCCAATACAACTCTATTATCATAGGCATGAGACTTGACTAGTAAGCCATCATGTTATCTTCCTTAGGACATACCTCAGAAAAGCATCTAGTGTTGTCCCTGGGGCTAACAATGCTTTTTTTTGGTCCCCCCGCACCCCCACCCCCCCGTACCGGGAATGGAACTCACGATGTCGCGCTTGCCAGGCAGGCGCTGTGCTGCTGAGCTAAATCCCCAGCCGCTAACAATGCTTTTTGCTAGGCTTCCTCCAGAACCCAACAACCATGGCTTGGTCAGGCCTGGGGCAATATATCTAGAGAATGTCCTTCTCCATACTGGTTCTGGCGCAGGCCATGGACAGGACACCTGAGCCTCCCACTGCCCACTTTGCTCATCTGTGAAGCAGAGAGGTGCACCATGCTGCCCAGTTTCCACAGCTTGTTTTTGCTGTCTTGTTGATCTTCTCTCACGGCCCTTGCTCCTTCCTTGCTGTGGACCCCAGGTTGTGTTTGCCTGGCTGACACTGGTCTGTACTTTATAGGCATTTTCATGTCTGTGGAGTTTGTACCCATACTGGCACAAGTCACTGGTACTAGAAGAAGGTTGTAGGGCCCTGGGGTTTGGGGCCAGAACTCGTGGGAGGGGTTTACCTGACTTCCTTCCTGGTTGCCTGCTCTCTTCTAGGAGCCTGGGCTCTCATGGCCTCTCCCTGCCGGGTCTCTTGCATTTTGTTTGGGTTTGTGCACCTAGACCACCTGCTTTTCCACCTAGCAGAAGGGGTAAAGACTGAGGGCTTGGCAATTTACCTGGGGGTTGAAGGATGGATTAAAAACCGTATAGAACAAAAAGAAGGTTACCCTATGGAGCAAAATTTTGGAAGGTTGACACATGTGAGAATTCTCATTGCAAAGGGGAAATGCCAGAGGAACACAGAGTGGTTAGCTCGGCCCCAACACCTGCCCTGTTTTGGAGGAGAAAGCAGCAGGAGGGGACGGGGACAGCACCTCCAACGTGGGCTCAGAAACGTCCTCTGCTTAGTTCCAGCCTCCTCACCTACAAAAGGGGACACGGCCCTGCTTCCTACCACTAGATCCCAAGGTTGAGTTTTCCTGCGTTGTCCTTTCTTTCTCCATTTCCCGATGTCACTGATAACGTGTTCCTGACATCCTGCTAAGCCCTCACCACAGTGCCTTTTATGTCTATATTTCTGTTCACGGCAAGTTAGGTCTAAGCGTCTCTGTAAAAGGTAATATATTTCTTTCCTGCCATGTTCTTCTCTTCCTTCTGAGATCCCTGGGCAGAATCTTTAACATCTGTATTCCTGTTAATAGTCTCTCCAAGGAAACCTAGGCCTTTTCTGTCTTGCTCCACAAAATTCTCTCATCCTCCAACACCAACAGCCCAATTCCAAAGCCGCCTCCATGTTTTTAGGTATTTGTTACAGCAGCATCTTACTTCTAATGCTGGAAATTACTTAGAAAACTCAGTTCATTTCCTATGCCTCAGTAACAAATTACCACACCCTTGGGGAGTAAACAGTACAAATTTTTTATCCTAGAGCCCTCTAGGTCAGGGTCCTGGCAGGTCTCAGTGTTTCTTCATCGAGGTTCTGGGGTGGTGGAACCTGTTTCCTCACGTCTGTTGGCAGAGCCCCTGATCTTAGTTGTGCTGTCTGGAGCGTCTGTCAGGGGCCCCTTACGAAAGCTGCTCCCTCCTTTGCACTTTGACTTTGTTTCCCTTTGTTGTTCATTTCCAGCCACCACAGTGGGAACAGGAGGGTGGACTGCACTTTCTGCTCTGTCCAGGACTGGGCAGCACACGGAGGCATCCCTACCAGCTTCCCTGCCTGCTGCCCGTTCCACAGGGGCAGCCTGTGGGCTTCTGCAGTGAAGAAGCTGCTTCAGTTGCTGGCTGGGTGCTGTGCCCATGCATTCTGCAGCGGGCACACAGAGCCCTCACTGAGATGATGTCATGGGTGGTTTTTCTAAACTAAAACCTCGGAAAAAAAACCCCAAAAACAAAAACTAAAGCCTCATTAGCTGGGCGTGGTGGCACGTGCCTGTAATCCCAGCACTCGTGAGGCAGAGGCAGGAGGATCGTTACAAGTTCAAGGCCAGCTGGGCTACAAAGTGAGCTCTCGGCCGGCCTGAACTGCACAGCAAGACCCTGTCTCAAAAAGACAAAACGAACAAACAAACAAACAAAACTAAAGCCTCAGTATTCAGCTTTAATTGCACTGTTGGCGCTTTGTGATAAATAAGTGGATTTGGGGTTGCAGTTTGGGCCCTTGGTCTCTTAAAAGGTTTGCCATCACTGCCTTAAATGCTCATAATTTTATTTGCTTGAAATTAATCTGAATGTGAAGTGTCTAGTGAATTGGAATGCAGTGTATGTAAGCAAATAATGATTTATGAAGTTAATTTAGTAGCACGAATTTAAATGTCCACTTGTTTAGCAGATGAGAAATAATGTATATGAGGATTGGTTCAGAAGTATTTTAGGCAGTCCTGGTCATTTGTCTAAAAACTTTACTCAGGATTCCCAAGACAGCTTTCATGTCTTCCCAGGTTTGAGGACTGATGGCTTAAAGAGTTTTAATTGTGTAGATTCTGTGTGGTTACTATATGGTCTGTCACACTTTCCCCACCAAGTACCAGAGCTGGAATTTCCTTCTTAAAAATGGGATCTGTGAAATGATTGGGGAATTGGGGGCCCAGGGAATTGTTGGGCTTGTTTTTTCATGAATTGGTCTGTCTGTCTCTTCTGGATGCTGGGGATGGAACCCAGGGCCTCGGACATGCTGGGCAGGTGCTGTACCATGAGCCATATCCCCAGCCCTTACTCTCTTTGATCCTTAAAAACTCTAGGGACACACAGTACCAAGCGTCACGGAACCTTTTTTCTCCTGTTGCTTTTTGTGTTCATCAGTTTTTTGAGTTTGCCCTCTTTAAAACTGCTACAGTAGAAAGTCCAAGATCTGGAAACAACTGACCAGAGGGTCCCACACCACAGAAGATTAAAAACAAAACAAAACAAAATACAGTCATGCTTTCCACTCCTGGCAAATGGTACTGAAGTTTAATCAGAAGCCACCAAGGTCAACAACCCTGCCCTAGGGAACGGGCAATTGATCCTTCTCCTACAGAAAGGGCTTCAATCTGCAGGCTGTCCCTGGGAGGCTCCGCTGATAGCCTTCGTGTGCTTTATTTTGGGCAGCTCCTTTAGCGGCAGAGTCTTCCGAATGACCTTCTTGGTGCTGGCTGCATCCCTCATCCTGCCCCTGCTTGGAGCCATGAAGCTGCTGGAGTCCCCCATTGATCCCCAACCTCTCAGGTGAGCTTCCTGCAATCCTTATTCCCCAGGAGGGGATGTGTGTTAGGCTGAAGTAGTGTCCAGGAAAGGAGGCTGAGTCAGCCAGCCTGGGCAGGCCTAGAGGAAGTTATGAGAGAGGGTGCTGTGGTCTCCTTAGGAGTTTATGTTGATTCAGTGTTACTCAGAGTATATGGGTGGTACTGGCTGTCGTCCTTGGAAAAAGCTTACAAATCAAGGACAGAAATCAAAGTAAGAGAAACTTGTGGGAATAGAGTTAACCTTAATTCTATGAGGTGGCAAAAGCACACGTAAAGGAAGGCTAGATTTAAATTACCTTGTTTAAATTCTATAAGTAACGAGTTTAATATGTTGTTTTTTTTTTACTACAAGTTTGTCATGCGAAATGAACACATTTACTGTGGGGTGTTGGTACGTGTTTGTCGCATCCTAGCCCTTTCCTCAGCTCTCTCCTCTCTCTGTTTGTACCTTCCCAGTTCCTGTCCTGCCTGGAGATAACCAACTCACTCCTGTTCTACAGCCCTTTGCCCTCACACCTTACTGCAATGGCCTGGACGGGGGCCTGGGCCTGCTTGGTCTGCCTGGCTTGTCCTTGGGTGGTGGTGGTGACAGTAGCTGCTTCCCTCCCTCCTCTTGCTCTGCAGCCCAGTAGTCGCTCCGCCTTAGCTCTGCAGGACCTTGTCCACTGGACAGGTTCCCCTAGTGTTATATCAGGAAGGCAGGGCTACCCGCATGGGAGATTTGGCCAAGCAGCAAGTACCTGATTTTTTTTTTTAAAACCTGTAATTAGTATTTTTTTTCCCTAAGTTATCTTTACCCAGTGGAGATCCAGGAGTATGTTATCCATTGTCACCTGGAAAAAGGGGCCCTTGATATATATTCTCATTAGTGATTACAGGGGGGCAGGGCCAGGCTCCTATTGCTGTTGGGACTGCAGAGTGTGGTGGGGTAGGGTTGTGCGTTCTGGTCAGTGAGGTCCTGGCTCCCTGTGAGAGCACCCTTGGGGCGAGGCTGACTGAACTGTACTGTAAGTGGGTTGGGGAGCAGGTAGGCAGTGAAGGAGGGCTCTCTGAGTGATTGCAGTGACGGGGAGCTCAGGAGCCTGGGGCCAGTGAGGAGGGTGTCAGGGCTTCCTAGGGAGTGGTCATGTGTTGGGCAGTGTGGGGGAGAAGCTTGGTCAGGAGGCTGTGGGGCTGGTGCTCCACTGTGGAAGGCGGAGGGCCTGCACAGGCATGGTGATGACGTGGGGTCCTGGGGACACAGCTGACTGCACAGGGAGGCAGAAGCAGCTTAACAGGGCTGTGTCTTTCTCCTTGGCTTGGGACAGGAGGCTGCCATTACCTTCCATTGCTGGCCGAGGAGAAGTGGCGGCAGTGGGGTGGCACTGTCTGGACCTCATGGGCTCCTCCGAGTGCTTCGGGGCCCAGTCTGGTCCCTGTTCTTCAGCTGCTCAGGTCAGGCCCTGTGTCTCTCCCTGGAGATGCCCTGTGGCCCTGCCTTGGTGTGATTTATGGGCTTTTCTTAGCTCCTGATGGCCAGCTGCCTTAATGGCTGTTGCTGTTTTTCTTTCATCATCTTTTGAGTTTTACAGTTTTACACTGGTAGTAAATGGTTCTTTTGCAGTGTGACAGCTTTCAGCTTCCTGTTGGGCTGTAAAGTAATAGCATCAAAGTCTTTTCTCTAAAATGCTTCTCTATGTCCTTGACCTTACATTTTACTTTAACTGAAAAACATGTTTTAGAAATGACTACAAGCACCCATATCCTCCTCTGGAAAGACACCTCTTGCTCCTCTCTGTGTGGAAGCCAGGCCCTGCCTGGAGTGCTTATGGGTGGGGCCTGGGTGCTGCTGCTGACTCAGTGTCCCCTAGACGGTGTGCCGCAGGGCAGCGTCCCAGCCATGCATACTCGTGCATGACAGATTTATCCCATCTACACCTGACAGAGTCGAGAGGGAAGATTGGCACTGGATCCTGGTTGGGCAGAACCATGGAGAGAATTAGGATGGAATCAGAAAGCAAACACAGATAGCGTCTTTGCTGAGTTGGCAGAATTCCAGCTTCAAGAAGAGTCTGTGTGGGCTGGGCATGGTGGCACACACCTGTAATCCCAGCTGCTCAGGAGGCTGAGGCAGGAGAAACACAAGTTAGCTGGGCAGCTGGGCAGCTTAGTGAGGCCTCATCTCAAAAAATAGAGTTAGGGGTGTAGTTCAGTGATAAAGTATCCAGTGTTCAATGCCCAGCAACACACACACACACACACACACACACACACACACACACAGTCCTCTGGTCTGGCTAGTGGGGTGCTGCTCAGCCCTACTTCCTACAGCTGCCCTTTGTGGATGCCCCAGCTCCCCAGAAGGTGACTGCCAAAGCCCTGGCATTAGCTGTATGGATGCTTTCATAGTTATTCGGTGGTGTGACCTTTTCTGATAGCCTTGAACATTTTTTTCTTTTCCTTTTATGTCTGGAAACTAAGGATGTTAGTGGGATGTCCTCTGTTTATCACAGAACAGGGAGCTCTGCCTGTAATCGATCCTCAGCGGGCATTTTCCTATGTGTTTTTGTGGACACATCCCTACAACTGCCTTGCTTTACAGCTTTAAAGAACCTCCTTTGCTGCTTGGTGTCCTACAACCAAATACGAAGTTGCGGCAGGCGGAAAGGCTGTTCGAGAATCAGCTCATTGGGCCAGAGTCCATAGCAAATGTCGGGGGTGAGTGAACCAGGACTGTGAGTGGTGCCGGGGGGCGGGGGTGAGTGGGGTTCCAGGTAGCCTGGTGGAGCCTGGCAAGCAGCACTTGCTGGGTAGGCAGCCCAGCGGAAGTGGCCTCCAGCTTCTCTCCTGTTTTCCTGGCATGATATTTTGATGCTGGTAACTTTGAGTTTGTCTCTAGAGGTGCTTACTGTGCTCAGAGCTCTGGGAAGGAGACAGGGAGTGCAGATGTAACATGTGGGTCATTTGGGACAGTACGTAGGTGCTGGATGGATAGTGTGTTTCTTGGGCCTTTGGTCTTCAGCTTCACCTCGAAGCTGGAGTTTCGTGGCTATCCCTGTTTGAAGTCTATTTGCGTGGTGTCCCCACCTCTCCCCAGCCTGCCAGCTCGAATCGGGTCTCTTAGAGCCTGGACAAAGCATTTGCCGTTAAAATGAGAATTAGGCTTAGTACCAACAAGACACGGTTGGTGAGACGATGAACAGACTAACTGGTGTGAGAATTTCTTTGGAGATGCTGCTGGTGACTCCGGGGTGGGCCCGTGCCTGTGTGTCCTGCTTGCTGCTTGGCTTTAGTTCTTCAGTGTTCACCCTGCTCCAGGCTTTTGTGGCCCCTGCTGCTTGATGGGACCTACAGCCTGGCCCAGTCATGTAGCTGTTGGCTTGATTTTTGACTGACAAAGTCAAAATTATTGCAAGAAAAACAAGTACTTCGTGATAAACTTCATAATTTTCTGTAAAAGACATTGACATTTCCATTAGTAAATTTCACTTTTTTTGGTGAAAACTAAAATATTGCAGTTTAAACCTGGGACCTGTAGGAGGAGAAGCCCAAGCCAGTGGCCTCACCTCGCGAGAAGACCCTGCGTCCTGCTTTGTACTTTCTCCTCACAGAGGGGCTGGCTGCCCACTGGGGTCTCCTCTGGTCAAGGCTCCTGGGTGCTCATGCAGCTGCAGCTCCGTTTGGGGGTGACCTGGTGTCCTGGGGGGTGCTGGCCAGTCACTGACAGTACAGGAGAATCATCTTCAAGTAGCGCGCTTCACCTGCTTTTGAGTAGTTTGTTTTTAAGAGCAGTTTTAGGCTCATAGTAAAATTGAGCAGAAGGTACAGAAATTTTCCAAGAGGAGAATTGATTTTTTTAATCATCAGGAATGGACATTTGGTATAGTTGATGAACCCACTTTGGCACTTTTCTCCAGAGTCTGTAGTTTACATCAGGAGTCATGCTTGGTGTTGCACACTCAGTGGGCTTTGGACAGATGTGCGGTGACGTTCGTCTGCCGGTACACTATCCTGCAGAGTATTCTCCCTGCCCTGCCTTCCCCTCCTGGCCCCCTGTCCTTCCCCTTTCATCCTCAGCAGCTGCTCAGCTGTGTGCTGTCTCCATGGCACTGCCTTGCACAGATGTTGTGGAGCAGGAATCTTGGCAGGTGGTCTTCTCAGCGCCTCTTTCATTCAGTAATAGGCATTTCAGGTTTCTCCGTGTTCTCATGGCTTGACAGCACATTTCTTTTTAACGTGGAATCTAGTCCGTTGACTGGATGTGTCATAGGTTATTTATCTATTCATTTACTAATGGATGCCTACTTGTTTCCTAGTCTTGGTAACTAAGAATAAGGCTACTGTAAACATGTGTGCAATTTTTTTTTTTTTGTGAACTGTCTTAGTCACTTTCCTTGTTGCTGGGGGAAAATACCCAGCACCCAAAATTTAAAGGAGAGGTTTGTTTTGCCTCAATTTTAGAGGTTTCAGTCTGATGACCTTTACCCTTTTTGCTTTGTAAACAGATGTGATGTTCACTGGTACAGCTGATGGCCGGGTCCTAAAACTTGAAAATGGTGAAGTAGAGACCATCGCCCGGTTTGGCTCAGGCCCATGCAGTAAGTTGTGATTGTCGCTCAGAAGTGTGTCCAAGGAACTGCTGTTCTTGGAAGGCAGTTTTACCTGTGAAGAAAAATGCTGGGCATCTGTCCGGGGGGACATGCTCAGTGTGACCACGAGTTCTGTGTTTGACGCATGGTCTCTGGGCCCTGCTTGGTACTTCTTGGGGCCCTGCCCCTTCACCGGTCCACTGGACTTGTGGTCACTTTTGGGGTCACTTCAGAGGTTAATGGGTGATGTAGGAGTGCTGATAAAAAAGCAGGTGGTTTTATCATTTTCAGGTGCTTATGTGTGATTCCTGATTAGGAATTCAGCAGTGCTGTTAAGAGTCTAAACACCCTTACATCAGTCAGATTTTAGAAACCTAGAGTAGAACTGCACTGTTTATAAACTGATAGCCCATGGCTTCTTATAGTTACTTTTATTTTTATTTTATGTTAGAGTTTCTCTTTGTAGTGTAAGGACTGGAAGCCCGGCCTTATGCATGCCAGGCAAGGACTGTACCACTGAGCTAAACCCCAGTCCTAGATGTCATTTTTATAGCAAGTTATTTTTGTACAAGTGACATATTTTTTGTTGTGAAGTAGACACAACACAAAATGACACAAATGAATGAAAAGCAAAATAAAATTCATCGTAGGCCTGCTCAGCGTAATTGTTACTGACATCTGGGAAGCAGCTTTGAAGGCACCCACACTGCAGTTTCACAGGTGGACTTACACTCTGGTTTGGTTCTCAGTTTGCGCTGTTTCCCTCAATATGGACACTGAGCTGCTGCCGTGAGCGCCATGCTGAGCCCACAGTGAGCTCCCCACGCTGAGTACTCCAGGACCCCCTACGTCTAGTGCTAACGCCCTGTCCTCTGCTGTGTACAGCCCCAAGTCTGTCCAGTGAGGGGTGAGGCACTGTGCCCTGTGGCGGGTGCAGTGGCCTGTTGCCCCCAACACCTGTCTGCTTCTTCCTAGAGACCCGCGAAGACGAGCCTGCCTGTGGAAGGCCCCTGGGCATCCGTGTGGGGCCCAACGGCACTCTTTTCGTGGCCGACGCGTATAAGGGGCTGTTTGAAGTCAACCCCCGGAAACGTAGGTCACAGTAACTTGTTTTCCTCCATGATGATTTCAGATCTTCCATGCACACGTGAAAAGATTCAGTAGGCTTTGTCAGAGTTGCTGAGGCCCTCTGAGGCTTCCCACTCATCAAACATGGCCTGTGTGGCAGCTGGTATCAGTCTCTGTTGCTGTAGGCTTTGCCCTGACCTCCCAGACGGTTGGATTTTAGCCTTAGGGTCTCAGAAGGACTTGCTCTGAGGGTGTTAGAACTCTTTTCTAGTTCTGTCTTTATTTTTCTGTCTCTCTCTGTTACTGTTCCCTTTTTCTTTTTATCTTTTAGCTGCTCTGCCTCTGCCCTTTCTGTCCCCTGTCCCCTGACTGGTGGGCCTGTCACTGTGACCAGGGTTACAGCTTTCTCAGTGCAGGTGTATGCTGTGGATGTGGCCCTGTGGAGGGCTGCCGGGCACCTGCGCTTGGGCACCCGTATGTGTCCATCAGTGGGCAGCCCCATATGTGGGACTCCAGGTTGTTCCTAGGAAGGAGTTTTACCTTGAGGAAGTTAAGCCTGAGCGCGTTCATCACCGGTCAGCTGATGGATACACTATTTTTTTTTTCTTGGGTGCAAGGAATCGAACTCCGGACTTTGTGCTTGCCAGGCAGGTGCTGTGCCACTGAGCTATGTCCCTGGCCCGCATATACCATTCTGACTGCAGGAAAGAGTTCTTCTTCTGACATGAGACTCAGAAAAGTTCATTTTAGCTTTCTTCTTTTACATCAGTTGGGCTGATTAATATTTTGGAATCACTGAGAAACAAGTTCTTAGAATGGAAGCCAGTCTTTTTCTTTCTGTTTCTCTTTCTCACTTCAGGGCAAGTGAAGTTGCTGCTGTCCTCTGAGACGCCCATTGAGGGAAGGAAGATGTCCTTTGTGAACGATCTTGCCATCACACGGGATGGGCGGAAGATCTACTTCACTGATTCCAGCAGCAAGTGGCAGAGGCGAGATTTCCTTCTCCTGGTTATGGAAGGCACCGATGATGGGCGGTAGGTGCACACTCATCCTTCTCTACCCAGGCAGTGCCTGGTAAGTGACCCCAGGGACTGACAGCCTCTGGCGTCATGGTGTGTTCCACAGTGTAGCCCTTCAGCTCCTGGGAAGGGCACTGGTAGTGTTCAGAACTGGTAAGAGGGCAGGCACCCTCACTTCCTCTTTAAGAAAATGAAATGGCACAGGCTAGTGTGCCATGGGTGGTGTGGACAGCTGGCCCCCTGGAGGGCCTGGGGCTGGACTGCTGGCCTCCCTGGGGCTGCCCCAGCTCCAGGGCAGCACAGCACCCAGGCCTGGCCAGCGAGTGAGGAGTCACCTCCCAGAGGGGAGCAGGGCTGGGCTGTAAGCATGCAGACCCTCCCGTGTGACCATGCCTACTCCCCAGCCTGCTGGAGTACGACACTGAGACCCAGGAGGTGCGGGTGCTCCTGGACCAGCTGCGGTTTCCCAACGGGGTGCAGCTGTCTCCCGAGGAAGATTTCGTCCTAGTGGCAGAAACAACCATGGCAAGGATACGCAGGTGTGTGGGGTGGCCGGTGTCACTGTGGGTGGGGACCATGTGGGTGGACATCGTAGGGGGCAGTGGGTGCCCTTACCTTGCGTCCTATGGGTGGAAGCCACTCTCTAGGATGGGCTTCCTCCTATACTCCAGTCCCTTGGGAGCGGCAGTCCGCCAGGGTCTCAGCTTAATGCTGGCACAGCCAGGTCCCCTTTCCCTGCACTCTGGGCCTCGGTCCCCACCTGCTTCTCCCTGGGTGCTCTTGAGGGACGCCCCTGCAATGGTGCCATGCCTGTGCCTGGGCTAGAAGCTGTTGGGTGCTTGACCAAGGCTTTTTCCTTCAACTGGGGCTGTGCTGACTGCCTGTGTGGAACTTTCCAGGGTCTACGTGTCTGGCCTGATGAAGGGTGGGGCTGATGTGTTCGTGGAGAACCTGCCAGGGTTCCCCGACAACATCCGGCCCAGCAGCTCCGGGGGCTACTGGGTCGCCATGTCGGTCATCCGCCAGAACCCCGGGTTCTCCATGCTGGACTTCCTGTCAGAGAAACCCTGGATCAAAAGGATGATTTTCAAGGTAACTAGAGAACTATAGTCCCCAAATATGAAGATTTAATCTAATTATAATCTTTTTGATCTGTATACCCCTAAAAGTTCTAGTTTTACTCATAATCTTTGATACTTGTGATGTCTACTTAAAACATACTTTATTCTTCATCCTGAAATATGAATTTAAACGTTTGGACCCACCTCCCGTTTTCCTTCTGGGTTCTGTTTCTGAGAACCTTTTGTCACTTCTGCTTGTTGAGTTCTGGGGCCCCACTCCATGGTCAAGCTCGAACCCCGCCTCCCTGGCTGACTTAGGTCCCCCTGTCCTTGTCCCTGTCCTGCTCCCTCCCACATCTTTCATGGAAAATGGCTATCAGGGATGTCTTCCTGCCTTACCTTGGCCTGCGCCTTCTGCCCATTCCTCCTACCATCTCTGTAGGGTCTGCCCTGGGTCCTCCTGACACCCCTACTCTTAATGAAAACACCACCTACCTGCCAGTGGCGCCCGCAGCTCCTTCAGCACCCCTTACCCATGGACCTCAAGGCCTGCGCCACCCACCGTGCTGCAGGGACACCCTTGTCCCTCGGCTCTGAGGCCTCCCGGGTCTCTGTGGTCCTGGTCCCCTGCACACCCACCCTGCTCAGCTCAAGCAGCCCTGGCTGTGTTATTGAGAGCACGGTGTCAGGAAGCCTGCAGCAGCTCCCGTTGAGAAGATGGGCATCCCAGAGCTGCCCTGCTGGCTGTGGGGCCAGGGTTGGGTCAGGACCCAGGATCAGGTGCACACACAGCAGCCGGTCTTGAGGCCCCTTGGTTTGGGGCCTGGGCTGCAGGGCCAGGGTCAGGCTGAGAGTGGTGCTCCTGCCTCAGCAGCCAGTGCAGGCCGGGTCCTGACTGGCATCTGCAGCAGCTGAGTAGGGTGTACCTGGGGTCCCAGGGCCAGAGACTCAGTGCTGGCTGTGGAGGTGGAGGTTGCGGAGCCCTCATTGGAGCAAGAGCGTGGGATCTTTAGGGTAAGAGGAAGACGCAGGGAGGAAGGCTTTGTGCCCTGGGAGGCTTGAGAGTCCTGCAGATTCTCCTGTAGCCTGTCCTTTGCTTGTGAACCTTCTAGAGCTGTCCACGTTTCCTGGAGGGGAGGCGTGACTCTTGAGATGCCTGCAGGTGTTTGGGTGGAGATCTGCTGTTCCCTTCACTCCTGTCGTCCATCCCTGCGTCCCAGCTTCCTGCTGGTTCCTTCTCTCTGCAGCTGTTATCCCCCTCCCCACGTGGTTCCTGCTTCAGCCTCCTTCTCAGCCCCGTGGCCTGTGCCCGTGTGTGGCGGTATCCCTGCAGCATGGTGGTAGCATTGGCCCTGTCCAAGGCTGCCACGTGGCATGCTGCACTTTGCAGCTGTCTTTTGAATGGGAGCTCTCCTGGTCTCTGTCCTTTATATCCTGCATGCCTGACATTCTTTGTTCCTCACCAGGGGACTTGTTGATTCCCTGAAGCCATGCTGGCTTTGACCCTGTGTTCTGCTGGGTCAAGGTCATGGCAGCCTTCACTTCGTGTGGTGACTCCCTGGATGGGACTTGGTTTGGCGTGCCAGTGAGCTGTGCAGAGTTGTCCTGCTGCCTCTGCAGCCTGGTCTGTGGGGCGCAGGCACAGGAGCTCTGGGCTCCGCCACCTGTGGGGTTGCCTGTGCGTGGCCTTCTCAGGTCAGAGGGCCTCTCTGCTTCTCCCTAGCTGCTCAGTCAGGAGACGGTGTTGAAGTTCGTGCCTCGGTACAGCCTGGTTCTCGAGCTCAGTGACAGCGGTGCCTTCCGGAGGAGCCTGCACGACCCTGACGGACTGGTGGCCACTTACATCAGCGAGGTGCATGAGCATGACGGGCACCTGTACCTGGGCTCCTTCCGGTCGCCCTTTCTCTGCAGGCTCAGCCTGCAGTCGATCTAGGCCTGGGTGTGCCGGGCAGCTGGAGCAGCTGTCCCAGCACCTGTGGGTCCTCAGAAGAGTGGATGGAAAGACGGCTGCAGCCCAAGGGGACCCCTCTCCTGGGAGTGACTTCATCTTTAGAGAAGATCAATTCATAGAAAGCCATTTTCTCTTACAAGAAAGAATAATGTCTCTAGGAACTGTCTTTCTCTAGGATGTGGGAAACTGCACTGTCTGTGGAACTCAGGGTTAGTTAGTGGCCAGAGCCACTGATGAGCTGCCAGAGCCTCACTGCTGCTGCTGGTCTCTGCTGGGGCTTCAGTGTCCCTCTCTAAGGGGGACACATGCTTTCGGGGTAGCACAGAAGGACCAGGGAGCACAGTGCGAGTGTGGGATACAGCCTGGATGCCCTGCGCCATGTGTGGGGTCTTCCCAGCCTCACCTGCTGCTACCTGGCCTCTTTGCACACCAGAGGTTTCCAGACCGGAGCAGGTGGGAGGGGCGGCCTGCGGATCTGGGGTGGGAGGCCTGTTTGGGTTCTTTGATGAGAACTGACCCCGAGGGAGTCTGCACTGCAGAGTCCATCTGGGAATGCGCTGTCTCCGCCTTTGTTCTGCCTCTCGGACCCTGTGTGGGCAGTGCATGTGTGACGTGCTATCTTCTGCTAGTGTCATATCCCAACTGCTGTATGTCTTGACAGGTCGGCACACTGGTCTTACTTTTGATAATAATAATAAATAGTTTTAAACTCACTTAGCCTCTGATGGTGTGGCCTGGGAGTTTCTTCTCCACTGCATTGCTGGGAGGGCTGTCCTGGCAGCGGCGGCGGGGAGGGGGTCGGTGGGGTAGGGTCATGTGGCGAGACTTCAGAGCTCCATGGTTCTGACCACGGTCTTGGTGCCAGTTCCCCGTGGGTGAGTAGGCTCTGGCTTCCTGCCAGCTCGGGCTGGGTCCTGCAGCACCAGGTGCTTTCTTCCTGGGTGCTTGGGAATGTGTTCGGAACGACTCAACAGGGTAACAGTTTGAGTAATGCTAGCAAAATTCAGAGGTGTGGACAGCTGTGGAAATGGAGCCGTTTGCCTCAACTTTGCCCACCCTGGGAGCTGATCGTGCCTCTTTCAGGGGGTGGCGGTTGGTGAGGTAACCTTGCATCATCTGTGTGTCACTCCTTGGATGGTATCACATGGAATAAATGACTGGGTAGAGGCGAGAACCAGCACAGCCTAGATGAGGCAACGTTTCCTGACAGGACAGCCGTTAGTGTTGCTCACAACCTTCAGGGCGGAAGCGCGGTAGCTTCTAGACAGCCCATGCCATGCCTCGCACACGGCCCGTGGCTGCAGGGCGACCGGGGCCTTTCTGTGCACCGCGCCTGTGGCCCGTGTCTTGGTTCTCCTGGGCTCAGTTCACACTGGTGAGAAGCTGGCTAGTTGTTTTCACAGCTTTCAGCAGAGGTGTCTCGATTCTGACTGAGATACTATTTCTCTGTCTTGAGTGTCACTTCCTGTGTTATCTATAGCTTGGCAAGATGAGGTGCAGCGGGCTTCTCACTCATGAAATAGCGTTCTGCCAAGGTGAGCGGGTACTGCAATTTGGAAATTAGGTGATTCATCACAGGCCTTTGCTGTCTGGTACAAAAACTCGGTCAGGATTCAGTTTCTAACTTTCCTGGGACCCCCTTGAGATTTTATTATCAGCAGACTTTTGTAGAGTGGTATATAGTTTGAAAGATTTTCATACACACTTTTTTTGAGATGGCGTCTTGCTGTGTTGCCTGTGGTGGTTGTCAACTTGTGGGCTGAAGTGGTTGGCCTGCCTCAGTCTCCCGAGTAGCTGAAGTGATCCACTAGAGCCTAGAGCTGTGCTCCACACCTGGCTGTGCACGCCGGCTCCTGATGTGTAGGGAGATGTGGGCTTGTGGAGGTGGGAACAGAAGCGCCCAGGGTTTATGCCTGCCCAGAGTCACAGCTGGCACCCATGGAGCTCGGTGCTCCTGGTGCCAGGGCAGGGATGTGCTATGTGGCTAGACTGGAAAAGGCGGCCTTCCGGGCCTGGCCAGGTGGTAGCTGCAGCATGTGGCCCTCAGTGGCACAGCAGAATGCTCTGGGGTACTCAGGTGTATGGGCAAACTGGGTGGCAGTGTCATTTGAGTGTCACTGGTGTCCCCCTGGGCGCGGGAGGAGTAAGGTTTACAGGTCATTCATCAGAGCCTGCCCTGCCCCGCCCTGCAGGGCGGCTGAGCCGTGTGAGCCCTGGAGCCGCCCGAAACTGCCGGGTCTGCAGGGCAGCTCTCTTCCGTGTGGCGGGGTTTGGTCAGTTTGAGACACTGAACAGAAGTGCTGCATTTTGGTCCCAGCCCTGGTGTGCCTTAGGAGCTGGTCTTTAACCTTACATTTTCGCAGCGACGCTCACTGAGGCACAGCATCCCTGTGGTGTCACAGTGATTCCCTCTGTCAGTGTAAAGCTGATAAATTAACAAAACAGGCAAAGCTGGGTGGGCAGCGTGGGACTCCAGGCTGTTGCCGGATGATGTCCTTTCCATCTCCAGGGTATCCCTGTCCACTGGGTTTGGGTCCACCACAGGGGTCACTGTTAGGCGATGCCCGGAGCAAGGCCATCTGCCGAGAGGAGCTGGGGTGAGGGTGCAGGGTGTGGCAGGGTGGCTGGGCTCGCATGGTCCTGCTTGCTGACACGGGAGCGGGTGTCTCTAGGGTGGGTCTACTGAGGCAGAGCATTGCAGTTTCCACAAGTCTAGCCAGCTCCTTTCCTCCCTGTGTCCCTGCGGCTGGTGAGGAGGGATATTTTCTTCTGTGCCGGGTGGAATAATGAGGGGGTAGTGTGGTGTCAGTGAGCTTCACCTGGCATCTGTCCACAGAGCTGGGACAGAGGCCTGGGGTGTGTGGAGGGGGGCATGGCCAGGGGGCTCTGCTGTGGCCAGTTCCCTCAGTGAGAAGAGGTGAGCGCCTGTCCCCAGATGGTGCTCTGAGAGCTGGGTGCAGGCCAGTGTGCAGGCCTGCAGGGCTGCGGTTGGATTTGAGCACCCCCCCACAGGTGGGGGCCACAGAGCCTGGCGGAGGGGTCCTGGCGGAGCAGGTGGAGGGTCAGGACAGCTCTGTATTCACTGTGCTCGCGCCGACCTCGGTGCCCTGGCTGCCCTCCGCCTCTCCTGCCACTTGGGTTGTGGGTTCACAGGGGCTGGGTGAAAGTCCTGCCTTTGGGCCACTGGGGCCTCGTGTGCTGGCCTCGCTGGCTCATCGTGCCTGAGTGATGTGCAGGGAACAAGGCAGCACAGCCTTCCCATGAGTGGGAATTCGGAACTGGGTGAAAACCCTAGGAGAGCTGAGTTTCCCGTAGGTGTGGTGTGGGCTGTATCCTGTACTTTTCCCACATCTAAACCGTCAGTCCCCAGGCAGCAGAGGTCTGGGTGAGCCCTGCCCCCGGCTCACCGCAGGCGCCCGCCTAGCGCCTGGCTGCTGGGTCTTCAGGGCCTGTCCACCAGCAACTCAGCACTGGACACGCTCTGGGACCCGAGGGAAGCAGCCTGCACTTGCCAGACCTTGAGGGGAGGGGCCTGGTGACCTTACCTGGCCTTTCTGACCCTACCGGCGACAGGAGACACCTGGTGGTATGAGGCTCTCGTCCCAGCTACTTTGGAGACTGGGGCAGGAGGATCTGGTGATTGAGGCCAGCGTGGGCAACATATTAAGACCCTCTCTCAAAAAATAAAATGGGCTGGGCGCGGAGGTTCAGTCCCCAGACCGTGGGAAAAGTGACACGCAGCATTGTTTTAAGTCATCAGCTCTCTATTCATTCCTGAATTTGCGCAGGAGAGGTCAAGATCCGCAGCATGCCTGCTCTTCCACCGGATGGTGATCCTAGTGGCTCCGACCAGGAGATAGACTTGGGCCCTCTGTGGAGTAAGGGCCCCCATATACCCACTCCAGGACCAAGTCTAGGGCCACTTGGGCAGTGAAACTGATCTTAGAGGACACTGAAGCAGGACAGATGTGGTCTGGACCGCCATGCTGTCATTGTGCCACCCCAGGCCTCTGTTAGGACCCACCGTGAGTCCATCTGCCAGCAGGGGCCATGACCTTGGGGCTGGAGTGCAGGTGTCCACAGCACATGCTGCATCCGGAGGTGAAGTCAGTGGCAACGGAGCACTGGCACCTGGACCCACTGGAGCCAAGGGATGACCCAGACCACGGAGTAGCACCACAGAGTCTGAAACAAAGGAGGAGCTCAGAGCCACATCCTCACTGCCTGGCCCCGACTACCCAGCCCCGCCCTGGTGCCCCCAGCTCCTAGGCTGTTAGTGTGTGCATGCTCGCGTGTGTGTGTGTGTGTGTGTACGCGCCACTGTAGTCCTTAGTGAGAGAGCCTTCTCTGCTACGTTTTTATTTTGAAAATTTTAAACCTACAGAAAATTTGAAAGAACGATTCAAGAATAAATTTCACCTGTATTTGTATATATGGATTGTTGATTTTTATCACATTTGCCTTCCCTCTTCAGAGATACATCACATTCACCTGTCACATGCACCTGTCATACCTGCCACATGTGATAGCTGTCACATTGTGACACACATCTCACACTGTCGTTTCTGAGTTATCTGAAGGTTCGAGGTCAGTCCCCACCCCGTCTCTGCTCTCCACAGAGCTGGAGGGCTCTGGGTCTCTGACACATGGGGAGGGGAGGGAATGGGTCTGCCATGCGAGGGGACGTCTGCCACGCCGGGGGTGGATGCTGCCCTCCCTGCTCCTGTCTGGGTGCCAGATGCCGGGTGGGCCGGAAGGTGGCCCTGCGTGCTCACCTGCTGCAGGGCTGGGTTGGTTTGGAAGTCACAGTGATCCAGAGTGGGGTGCGAGGTCTTCCTGCACGTGGTCCTGCTGATCTGCACCTCTATCATGTACTTCAGGCCTTTCACCACCTGGGGAGCAGAGGCAGTGGCCTGGTGACCTAGGACAACCTGAGTGGACCTTGAGCCATGAGGAGGAGCTGGGAGTGCTCAGTGCCTGAGCCGCCCACCTGCCAGGCTCAGGTCCCTCCCAGGATGGCTCTGCTGCCTGGAGCCTTCGCTTAGGAGAATGCCAGCCCAGGCCCCTCTGGACCCTCACTCCAGCTGCTGACTCAAGCCAGAGCCCAAGAGCCTGAGGTGTCAGAGGACAGTGCCTGCTGAGTGCTCAGGCCTGTGCCCCAGCCCTCCTGGGAGCTGTGGATTTGACATTTCACAGCTGTCTCTGCTCTTGCTCATCTCACTGCAGCCTTCAGGCTCCTCCTCCTCCCCCTAGCTCCACACATGTGGAGTCTCACAGGATCCCTGGACTCTGCAGATGGCTCCTGAGGTGTCTCCTCCCTGTCCTATGGCTATCACCTGGCCCTGCTGACAAGGATGAGCATGGCTGGAGGGGTACTGAGGGGTCACTAGGAAGCGTGGAGCTTCTGTAGCTGGAGCCAGGGTTCGATGGGATGACAGTGAGGCAGATGGTACCAAGTACACGAAGCTGAGGTATAGAGGACGGCTGCTGCAGGGGCCCAGGGGAATGAGACCTCTGTAGGGAGTGTCCAGCCTCTGCCCAGCCTCACCTGCACCAGGGCTTTGCTGATGTGGGCCTCCTTGTACAGGAAGATGTCATTGGTGTAGTTGTTAAACTGCTCCACACTGTACCTGGCTGCTTTGAGGACTCTGGGGTCGTTAGTGTTTATTGGTTTGGGAGATCCTGGCTGGATGCCCAAGTTAAGGTCCTGGGAACAGAAATCTGAGAGAAACGAAGAACCAGGTCAGCAGGGTGCATGGCCCATGCCTCCCCTGAGGGGCTGCCCAGTTCTCTGGCCCTGTTGCTCCAGCATCACCTACCTTCACCTGTGCAGACTCACCTGGGTGCCTCTCACCTGTATGCTCCTCACCTGTGCATCCCCACTTGCATGCACTTACCTGTGCACTGCCCCACCCCTGTACACACTCACCTGTCTACCCCTCACCCGTGAACACTCACCTGTGTCCCCCTCACCTGCGCACCTGGCCAGCAACCCCCCCCTCCACGTGCACCCTGTGTACACTCTCACAGCCGCCCCAAGCTGGCTTTAGAGCCAAACACAGAGCACAGGAAAGTGTAGCCCGTCCTCTGCCTGCTGTGCAGCCCTCCAGGATGTGGGGACTCCCCGCATGTGAAGGGGACACTGAACAGCCCAGGAGTGCGATGTGCACAGGGTGTGGCCCCAGGATGTCTGTCTGCCACAGGTCCCGGTGTGAGGGCAGCCCTGTACTGTCTTGGGAGTATCCCTGCTGCCCCCTGGCCTCCCACCTCAGTGTCCTGAGCTCTGGCCTCGTGGTAGCCTGGGAGGCTCTCCAGCCACACCAGCAAAGGGGAAGCACTGTGTGCAGTAGGGCGACTCCTATTCTTCCCCATCCCTAGGTCAGAGGGGCTTGGTCCCTGGGCACCCCTCCAGAGGCAGCTGCTGTGGGGTGCCCCCCCCCTCGGCAGGCCTAGGCCACTGGGACCAACTTCTGCCGCTGGGGGTATGTGGCTGTGTGCTGGTCAAGCCACCGAGCCTGGCCCTGCCTCTGTTTCCAGTACTACAGCGTCCTCTTCCTCCTCCCTGTTCCACCCACTGGCCCTCAGGTGCGGACTTAGGAAGCAGAGGGGCAGCCATTCCTGGGGGCAGAGAGCCAGCAGGAAAGACCTCTCTGTGGGTGCAGGCTCCGCTCTGTCCCTGTCGCTCCCCACTCCCAGAGTGGTCTCAGGCAGTGCAGGGCCCCAAGCCCAGGGACACAGGTCACACAGGATGCTTTCCTGTAGGGGACAGAGCTGTGTGACCCCTGTTCCCACTGCCTGCTGCTCCTCATCCTGCCACCCTCTGCCCCCTTCCCTGCCCCGTTCCCTGGGGGCTCCAGCAAGAAGGGCCTTGAAGGACCAGGGAGGGCAGGGCCTGGGCCACAGTCTCCCCCTGGGGACAGGTGGCAGGGACGTCCTCTTACCTGGGGGTGCCCTGCAGGAGCCGGCAGCAAGGCAGCAGAGCGTGAGCAGTGTGGCCGCCCTCATGGTGAGGGCAGTGCTGGGCTGCATGGGCGCTGGCAGGTGCGGCCCGGCGCAGCTCAGGGTGGGCGGGCAGTCTGCTAGCGCGGCGGGCGGCTTCTTGCTGAATCACTTTGACCAGGAGCTCTTCTTCAGCTCTTAGCCACAGGGGCAACCGCTTCCTTTATATAAAGTTTTCAGACGAAATTGCTGGCGAGGGGAGGAGGAAACCACAGATCTGCGGCCCCTCGGGGGATTTCTGATCCGGAGCCACACGTGGGAAACAGGCTGCACAGACGGGATGAGCAGCGTTTTCAGAGGAAGTGGCTTGACTTCCCTCCTTCAACTTACCCTCCTTCCCTTCCTGGGCCAAGTGTCCTCAAGGCCCTGGAAGACTCCTGCACTGCCACGAGTGGGCATTGCCCTGGGAGCAGCAGGAGAGCCTTGAGGGTGAACAGATGACGTGCACATGCCCTCCATCAGAAGCTGAGCAGGGGTTGCTGACTGACTGAGTGATCACTTCCCATCTTAGGCTCAGTGCCAGAGAGGGAGAGAAGAGGACAGTCTGTGGCGCAGATCTCCGTTATCATGCCCAGCCCAGGGTCCAAAGCAGGGCCTGAGAGCCCGATGTGATGCTGGAGTTTGAATCTGGCCTGGGATTCTTAATACCTGTTGGCCATAGGTGAGGAGCAGCCTCTCTGTGTCTCAGTTTTCCCTTGGAGGATTGTGGAGAGGACTTGGAAGCTTGTTCAGTGGAAATGCTGTGGAGTTAGAACAGAGCCAGCAAAGGGGCTGGGGATTTAGCTTAGTGGCACAGCGCCTGCCTGGCAAGTGCGAAGTCATGAGTTTGATTCCCGGTACCGGAAAAAAAACCAAAAACCAAACCAAAACAAAACAAAACAAAACAAGAATGCAGATAATAAAGTGCAGAAGAATAATTGAAAAATAGAACAGAGCCAGCAGTCAGGCCTGCACCCACCTCAGAATGGGGTGTGGCACAGTGTGCTTGGCCACTGTCACCCCGCCAACAGGACGCTCTGACCCTGAGCCAGGCAGCCCCTCACTACGACCTGGGGTCACTCTGCCCTGAAGTCTGCTGGGTTGTCAGGGATGGCAGGCAGGAGACCTGGGTTTGGGGACCAGGACAGGCTACATGGTGCAGGTTCCTGCGGTGAGGACTGTCACCAGGAAGAGGTTTGTGTGCGCACGGTGGGTGGCTTTGGTGATGCCCTGCAGCCCGACCCACCCTGCATGCTCCCAGGGCTGTGGGGCAGGACTCCAGGACTCACTGGGCTCTATGTCCTGGTGTTTTGGGTTCCCCTGGACCTGGAAGGGTGTGGAGAAGGATATCCTCTAGATGTGTTGCCTCAGGCCTGACCAAGCCATGGTTGTTGGGTTCTGGAGGAAGTCTAGCAAGAAGCATTGTTAGCCCCGGGGACAACACTAGATGCTTTTCTGAGATATGCCCTAAGGAAGACAACATGATGGCTTACTGGTCAAGTCTCATGCCTATGATAATGGAGTTGTATTGGCCTTGCAAAAAATGCTTGAGATGGGGGCTGCCTCCTTGGTTCTCAGTGAATAAAAGGTTACTGGAGATGGTGGTTGGGGCTTGAGTCCGAGAGGCGACTAGTCCCCTGAGCCCAGATATATGGCTCTGGAGTTGTTCTTTGGAGGAAGGGATTGATACATCCGCGGGCACCTTGTTTTGGGGACCTGTTCACCCTGGACAGGGATGGATGGGTAATCCGACAGAAGGGCACCAGAATTCCAGGCAGGAAATGGTGTTGGCACTCCGGTGCTGCCCAGCGCCATAACGACACCCACTGATCAGGCTCCTGTCCCCCTGTGGGAAGCCACTGCCGTGTGGCCATGCACAAGACTGGGTTATTTCTGGAATCTGACACAGAATGGGTGAGGCTGGGCGAGGCTCATGCCGCTGCACCAAGTGGTGAAACAACGCCCGGGTTCTGGCCCACCATGTTCCTGCTGCCAGCTGCCCACTCTGCTGGGCCTGAGCTGGGTTGAATGTCAACCTCCTCGAGGGCTCTGGTGTTATGGTCGGGGCCCTGGGCACAAGAAATGGGGTCTTGTGAGTTATACTGGGTCCTGTGGGAAGACAGAGTCCCCAAATCCTGCTGGGTGTTCTTCGTGCATGGAACAGGTGCCCACTGCCCCGGGGCACTCCTGGTCCTGGTCTCGGTACCCACTCTGCCTATGCCCCTGCATCCAGCATGAAACCAGGTCCCATACACCCCCAGGCTACAGTGCAGTGGGGTCACGGCAGGCTTGCTTCGAGCTTGCTGGGTGTACAGCAAGCCATGGCCTGAGTGGGGATGGACGCAGGGCTGGATGGTGGTAGAGGGGGCAAAATGGGGGTTGGGCTGAAAGAGCTCTGTGCACCTGAGGGCCTGGTGTGGGTCCTAGGGCACATGCTCCCTGCTTGGTGGGAGCGTGGGCTGAGATGAATTCGTGGGCTGAGGAGGTGTCTCTGACAGGAGGGACCTGAGGGGAAGGTGTTCCCACCCCCAGGGATGGGGTCCCTAGGTACAGCTGTGCATCCTGCAGTCGCTTCCTCTCTGCTAGGTGTCACTGGTAGAGCTGGCGGTGCCCTTTGAGACCCCTTCTGCCAGAGTCCATCCCTGACTGTAGTTTAACTGGCAGACTCTGGTTCTTGTGTGCAAATGTGCTTGAGTGTGTGTGTGTGTGTGTGTGTGTGCGCGCACATGCTCTCTGCATGTTTCTGTGTGGGATGAGAATTCAGCTTGCTGCATCTTTCTTCCCCCATCCTTCCTCTATTCCCTTCCCCTCCCTCCCTCTCTCCCTCTGCTCCTCTCATCCCTCTCTCTCCCCGCCCTTGTCCGTCCCGTCACCATCCCCTCTAGTGCCCTCCCCTTCCTCCCTCTCCCCTCCTCTCCATCCCTCCATCTCCCCCTTCCTCTCCCCTCCCTTCATCCTTTCCCTGAGTGGTACAGTCAGACCAGACTCAGAGGGGAGCCTCTGTGACCTAGGAGTTCTCAGTGTTGTTCAGGAGGGGCATGGGAGGCTCCTATCCTAGACACCATGTGAGGGACACAAACACCATGGGGCCAAGGTCCCTTCTGCTGCACTTGTACCCCTGACTGCTGTTTGTAGAGTAGAAACGTCCCCAGCCACTTGACCTGTAGGGAGAATTTTGTCCACACGGTGGTGTGGCAATCTAAGATATGGGGTTACAGTTACCGACTTGGTAGTTTTTGCTTGCTTTGAGATGAAGTCTTGTTGTATTGCTCGGGCTTGTCTTGAAGTCTTGGGTTAAGGGAAATTCCTTCCTCTGCCTCTCAGGTGTCCAGGACTACAAATGTGCACCACTGTGCCAGGCTGTACTTCCCAGTTTTGCTCAGGACCCAGGACTTCCGACGTGCACTTTTGGCTAGCTCCTCCGCCCTGTGCAGCTGTCCTGGCCTGAGGAAGGGGTCCCTGAGCTGCTGGGCTGTCCTGGCTCCTACCCAGTGGACCATCTGGGCACCCTGAGTGTGACAGAGCTCAGAGCTGCACTATCTCCATTCTGCAGCAGGGACCAGGGATGCTCAGGGTGGGGACCTGGTCTCCAGGAGGTAGCACAGCTGCAGGGAAGATGCGAAGGCCAGCCCAACCCCAGGCATCCCCAGGCATCTCCAGGGCTACACTGCTGGGCCAGGAGGGGCCTGGCTCCTCACAGTGGGACAGCCGGTGTGAAGGACGACTGTCCCTTGCAGTTGCGGCTGGGAGCTTCTCATCTTTATGACAGCCTTCCAAGTCACAGATGAACTGTGATCCAAATGTACATTGGATGTTTAAATTTTTAAAAATTACAGTTAAAGACACATTGCCACAAATCTCCCCCAGACCCCTCCCCTGGCTTCAAGTGCACTCGTTCATTGTTCTTGCCACTTTCTGAAGTAGCTCTGGAGTTCTCTTTCCTGAGTGTCTTTCTGAGGTGTGATCAAAAATACTGTGGACGCCGCTGCATAGCTCTGTCCAATGGAAGGAAAGGTAGCCTCGTTAAACCATCACTGAGGATGGTACCCTCATCCACCTTATTCACCAGATCTGGCACTGTATGACTTCTGACTCCTCCCCAAAGTCAAAATGACCGCGAGAAGGAAACATTTTGGACGGATTCAGGATGTTGAGGCAGCTGGGATTGTGCAACTAATGCTCAGGAAAGAGGACTCCAGAGCTGCTGCAGAAAGTAGCCAGGATGAGTAGATGAGTGTGTTTGCAGAATTTTGAGGGGGATAAATGCAATGTCTCTCTCTCTTTTTTTTTTTTTTTCTTTTTGTCTTTTTGAGACAGGATCTCCCTATGCAGTTCAGGCTGACCTTGAGCTCACTTTGTAGCCCAGGTGGTCTCGAACTCGCAATGATCCTCCTGCCTCAGCCTCCCGAGTGCTGGGATTACAGGCGTGCACCACCACGCCCGGCAGCAATGTCTCTTACGGTAATGATTTTAAAAATAAACATTCACTGGCCTGGCAGTGTCCTTCCTGTCACAACCCCAGCCCACCCCGGTTCAAGAAGGGGAATGAAGCAGATGCTCTCTTCACTCATGGTGTCCTTGTCACATCGGAGGAGGAGGTAGACTGGGCAGACTGGGATCTCTGGGAAATGCTCTGCCTGCAGCAGGTCTAGGGGGAACTACCGTCTCAGCCTCCATGGAAGGGACTGCACATCCCTGATGTCACCTGTGGAGGTGGCTCCTACCTGTGATGCCAGGCCTGGCTATGGGTGGGTAGGGGGTATCCACCCCCCACCCCCAGGCTCAGGAGGGGCTGCCTTATCCCACACTGCAGAGTGGCTCTGATGGCTTCTGGTGCAAGGGGCTTGGGCAGCTTGGAGGGAAAGGTGACCCCCTCCCTCTCGTGTCGTGTCCCTGCTGTCCCCTGCCCTCCCGTGGGTGGGAATGGAGCTGGTATGTGTGCTTCCCACGTGGCTGGTGGCCCCCTGGGTGCTGAGCCAGGGTAGCCAGCTGGGAAGGCAGCTGCTGGCAGAGTGCCAGAGTCACAGTCCTGGATCAAACCTGCCCTGAGGCTCACCACTGCTGGGTTCCCCAAATACCTCTCTGTCTGCACTATCAGAGGTGGGCTTTCCATTTGTGTTTTACTGTTCAGCATGAAAGGCCTGCCTGACACCAAGAGGAAGCGGGTTTG